TAGAGTTTTCGGAGTTAAAGGATATCTTATTATAACTATCTTATTACTTACTTTCTTATCTATTAGCGGGAGGTAAGCATTCTCTATAAGCTACTATATAGAGGAGAGCTAAGGTTAAGGTTATTAAGGTGTCCCTCGTTAGTACCTATATTAGTATTATTAGTATATATATAAGTAAGAGGTCTTAGTAGGGTTCTAGAACGGTCTAGATTACGCTATTATTATTATTTATATCTTTTAAAGTATTATATAAAGATCGTAGTTTCTTAACTAAGTCGCTAGTATTAAGGGTTATAAGGCTAATAATAGGAGCTCGGGGTTTTTTAGTATTAGCTTATTGCTTTTCCTTTACTACTAGCGAAGGCATTATCTAATTATTTATTTCCTAGTAAGTCTATCGCCTTATTAGGTCCTTAACTCTAGCTATTAAGGTAGTTGCTACTTTAATTATTAAATCCTTAGATTTTATTTTTTCTAAATAGTATAATCGTCCTCTAGGTATTCTCGGCTTCGTAAAGCTACTCGTCGCCGTATAAATAAAATAGAATAACGAGTTTACGCCCTAGAGGCTAGTTTTAATAGGGACGAGGGCATATACCTAAAGCACGTATAGTACGTAGCTAAGGATTAGTAGAGTATTTAACTACGTAATTATCTAATTATCGGTCCTATATATAGCTCTAAGGGCCTTAGGTTATAAATATAAGTCTTAGAGATTTCTTTACTCTATGCCTCTTTGTCTCTACTAGAGTTACGTAACTAGCGGCCTTTACTTTAAAGGGGAAAAATAAAAATTTAAATTAACTATAATTAAGGAATATACCTAATTAGATAATTAAGGTCTTTATAAAGCCTTTAAGTATACTTAGAAGTAAGTTAGAAGGGGAGTGCTAGGGGTCTTATCCCTTTAATAGGCTAATGTCTATAGGGGTGCGATCTTACCTATTAAAGTATATAAGTATCTTTTGCAACGCTATTCTTTTAATATTTTATTTAGCCCCTTATATACTTATTATAAATTCCGAACGAAATCCTACCCTATACTCCTTCGACCGCTCTTTCCGCTTATATTATTAATTACCCGATTCTACGCTTATTACTTATACCTTTTAATAATAATAGTTAAGCTTATATTATATCCTTAAGCTAAGAAAGTAATATTAAGTAAGTAAGCTCCCTTATATATAACTATTAGGTCTACTAAGTATAAATCTAGCCTCTTAAGCTTACTTTCCTAAATAATATCTTATTTTTTATAGTTAGCGGACCTTTTTCTAGTTAATTAAACCTATAAAAGTAGATACTAGCTACTAGGTCCTCTTTTAGTACTATTATATCTCTTTAAAACTAGCACTTACTAATGCTAGGCTACGCTAGGCCTACTTTAGTTCGGCTAGTTAGTCTAGCAATAACACGTTAGCCGGTTCTTATAAGCTAAAAAATCAAGAAAAAGGGCTCAAGGATTATATAGATATCGATAACGCCCTTTCCCTTTACTAGTCCTGCCTTCGCCTATGCTCACATCTTATCTTTTATTGCCTTTGTTATAAATGCATGCGAATTTAAGACGACCGACAAATACTCATTGCTGAGCGAAAATGAACCCACCATCTCAGGCAGCTGGTGTGATCGGCAGCGCAGACGCTATCCGCACAACAATGAACTTCTTGGCACCTTGGAAGCCCAAGAGATAGATGTTCTCCAGGCATACCAGCGCGGCGAATTGACCACAGAGCAAGCTGCTTACGCTATCACTCATCCTATCTCAACCTCGCCAATCCCTACCCTAGACACAGAGGACGCCATTGTTTCACTTATGCATCTCAACTCTCCCCTGTAAAAATTCTTCACCCCGCGGAGCTGTTAGTGGCTCGTTAGCCGGGACAGGATCTACAGGCCACCCGACCGCGCTTTTGCTGCGGGGTCCATCGTGACCCTAACAGCACAGAGGAAGACCTTAGGAGAGTTCATATTCCTCTGCGAAGCCGGTCTCGACAACATGTCCACTCGGACCTCATGGCTCTCTTCGGAACCAAGGAGCTATGGGTATTGGAAGGCCCGCCCTTCTAAACAACGGTGGCCGGTTGCGGAGGTTTTTCTCCCTGAGGGCAAGCTGCAAAGCCAGCCTCTGATCCCCCCTCCAAGAGTTTTCCCCTGCCGCCGCTCCCCAGTCATTTCCACGGCTTGGTTACTGGAGCGTGGACTGCGGCAGCAGTTTTGGCTGCGAGCGAGAGAATTCTGACCGGACAAAACCAAGGGTTGACCAATTCTTTGTGGCTGCGACCACCCGACACTTTGCCTTGACATCCCGCTGACGGGTACGAGGCTTGACACGAGCGCCATCGAGCCGATGAAATGCTGGATAGGGACAGAAGGGGTTGTTCACGGGTAGCGAACTACGAGCGCTGGGTGCATTTAGATGGACAGTGGTTTTTTTCGAGGGAACTCATTCGGGACACTTCTCTGTAACTAGCTCAGCACGTCCTGTGCTCCCTCGCGGAGACCTGAGCGGCCTGAGCCGCTGGACGCAAAATACACAACAACAACAACAACTTCACTTATGCATCTATGGCGATTGTTTATAGACGCCCTTGTGGAATGGCCATGTAATTGGACTTCGCACCTTATTGCTTTGCTTTTAGCGATTAAGAAGGTTCCGTACGGCATTCATCAGAATAAGGCGATCTATAAAGATGGGAACCCCTACTCATGGCAGGATCTTCCATCGATCTATATTGTCTGGTCTGACGCGCATTGGATGCAGCCATGCGAGTTTGCAACACGATGCGCCAACGACACGGACAGGATTCGCGCACGTAACGTCTACATTAAACAACAAGACGTTGAATCTCAATTGGTTGCTGCTGGCATTTTTTGGGGGAAAATCGCTTTTTCGCTATCTCGTCCATGTTCTTGAGATGGATCCAAACCCTCCAGACGACACGCCAGCAGAGTTTCTCATGCTACTACAACCTGATTTCCACCTGCCTGCAGTTGCTCGATGGATGCGCTATAACAAGGCTGCGCTTTCTCAAGCCATCAAAACAGGCGAGCTTCAGGCTTGGAATGACGGAGGTATCAGGATTTTGCATAAAAGACCAGATCCTTCGATTTCGCGTTGGTTAGTCTGGAAGGGGCGACTGAACGAATTTGCGCAAGGCGGATCAGACGAGCTTGTCCGTAGTGCTGCACGCGAAGCTCTTGAGCATCTGGAAGCTGTTATAGCTACCATCCAGAAAGGTCTGTAGAAAAGAAACCCGGTCCTTATTTACAGTGGACACGCAGCCCAATAGCACTACCACGCAAAGTGACACTCGCACAGACTATGCGCCTACATCAGATGCTATGTCAATAAAACCACCTCACCTCTTGTTTTTAAGGCGAGAGAACGCCTCCAGATTAATGCCTGCTGAATTACGTGCTACATACTGAGAAAATCAAGCAACGACGTCGAGTATTCCGCTGCATTACCTATCAAGCTGTATCTGACAAGCTATATTCCATTGAGATATCTGTTACGAAGAACGTCTCTCGGTTGAGTCGGCCAGGTCGCCCATGGGTAGCTAGGCTAACAAGGGAGCTGACAACCGGGTCTAACGAGAAGGCTGGAAAGCTCCTATTAAAGACTAGAGCGGTCTTTAGTCGAGGAGGCTGGGGGTTCCCAGCCTCCTCAACCTTATACCTATACTACGAAAGACGGATATAAATAGGGGCTTGGATTTAGGGCAGAAATAAAGGGAGCACAAGTAGTAATACTCATTTAATTAATCAAGGCCTTAATTAGGTGCGTATATTCCCCGCAGCAGACTGCTCTCTAGGCAACATACATCGTCAGTCAACAACTTCGTCAAAAGTGAAGGTGTTCCAACCGCGATTTTTGCCCGTAGCTGCCGCCGCAATAAAGCCTCTACATAGCACCAGCCGATCGATCTCACACAGGATCAAATTATCGTCGCGATGCCCTCACAAGCGGCCGTCCAGGACGAAGGAGACGCCCAGCAGAATTTTTATGTAGAGGCCCTCTTCTGAAAACAGACGTACACAACGCCGCTAGGGCACTGCCAGGGCTCCTAATATTCCTTTCGCGATAACCTCACTTTTTCATGACTAGCCATACTACCCACTCTTTTTGTGTGCCGGAGAGCCAAACCTGTGTACCGGCTAACACGGCCGTTGGTCTGTGACACACGCTGGGCCGTGACAACTACGCCTTAGCCTAGATCCTCGCGAGGCAGTCCCATGTTCTTCGTACCTAGTCCGGACAACCCCGTGCCGTACGTACATACATTGCACCCGCAGGTTTTTCCCCTTTGAGGGCCGACAAAGTGGTGCCCTGTCGACTCCCACAAGGCAAATACGAGGGTACGCATCGTCTCCACTTCGCAAGGCAGAAACACTGTGAGTGAGTAGTTATGCAATCCCCGCCCATTGAAGCTGTGTGGGTGCGAATCCTACAAGACGAATTATTAACTTACAATAATTACTTTCACGTCCGGTTGCTCTTGCGGCTGCCTGCATCAGGTCGTATTTCTGACCAAAGTAGCCGCCCTCTATTCTGCCAAGCCGAATGCAACCGGGCGTCAGGCTCAATTCACGCCTCGTTTACGACTCATGGCTATGCATCCGACATCGCCATGGGCCTCGTGATGCCTAGGTCGCTGCCTGCGCCGTGATACGAGGTGAGGGTCAGCAAGACGCTACTCCACTGCATGTAACGGCGCGAGCATCACATGGTACACAGGCAGATTCCATACCGCGGCCATCTGATTCTGCGGCTTGGAAAAGCCAAAAGAGCCGCGAACATTTCTAGGCACCGGCGTGAGAGGGACGGGGCTCGGATCTAAACGAGCCGCGGCGGGATGCTCTCAGAGTACGCGAGTGCGTCGAAGGATATATAAATCCATCCTCAACCCGAGTTCCTGCACCAGCCTTCTTGCCTCCCATCATCCTTCAGAAATATCTTGATCAACATTTCGAAGCGCTACGACACCATCGCCACCATGCTCTCTACTCTCGGATCTGTTCTGCTTCTCCTTGGCAGCACTGGGCTGACCAACGCTGCTGTCGTCAGCACCGGCACCGTAGAAGCCAGAGGTGAGCCTTGGCCTCGACTCCTTTAGAATGAACGCTTTATCTTCAATGCGTCGCAGTGGTGAGAATGATGTTGAATGGATTGCTAAATCTCAGTTACAAATGTAGCTGCTTCTCCCCCGTCGCCGCTGCAGCCCGGCATCGCCGCGAACTGCAACAAGTGGTACATGGTCAAGCCGCACGATTATTGCGCCGCAATTGCGGCCGAGCACGGCATTTCGACGGAAAAGTTCATTCAGTGGAACTCGGGCGCCGGTCCCGAGTGCAAGTCCCTCTTGTCCGGGTACTATGCCTGTGTCGCGGTTGACAGCGAGCCGAAGCCAACACCCGTCAAGCCCGAGAACGGCATCAAAACGCCTTCTCCCTTCCAGGCCGGCATGGTGAAGAACTGCAACAAGTTTCATTTCGTCCAGCCCAAGCAGACTTGCCTCGACGTCGAGCGCGCGACTGGAGCCAAGGTCGCGGACCTGATCAAGTGGAACCCGGCCATTGGCCACGACTGCACCACCATGTGGGCAAAGACTCATCTCTGTGTTGGCGTTGTGGGTTAAGCCTGCTTCTTCTGCTGTTGAGTGGTACGAGAGCCTAGCGGCCGTTGGACATCACGAAACATACCAGAGGAGGTGCCCACGTTGGATAATGTATTGCGATGATGGCGACATTAGAACGACCGAGCAGCATAGCCATAGCATAACAGCAGATCAACCAGTATAAGGAAACGGTCAAGGGTGTGCCCTCGTGGCGTTGAATTACTACTCCATTTTCCTGGATCAACTCTTACCCGTGACTCGTAGTTTGTCTAAGCTACCAAGTCGAGGGCAGTAGACCATCGCAGGGAAGCCAGTTATATCGTTCTTGGCTCTTCTGCCTTGCATCACGGGAGGGCGTGTGACCTTTGGAGCTGTCATCCCACCATAATGTGCCTACCGCGGCCGAGTCAGCGTCGGCTCGAAACAGGCGTGTGGGGGATCCTCGGGATAGAGGTGGAGAGAAAGCTCGGCATTGATTTGAAAGTAGCAAACTGGTGGTGATCAATGGCTCATGTATGAACCGCAGAAATTCAATGCCCGATGCCATTAAGACGGCTATCTATATTAATAGCTCGAATGAGGCCCTAGAAATCTCAATTGGCACTATTGCTTCCGGTCTTATTGATATCCATTGCCTTGGTACAAGATCTGTCACTGCATGTATATTACAATGCACGTTTTTCTGTGTATCCTCCCCTTCCTCGCTGCTGGAGCCCTTTCGGCTCCAGCTATCGATGCCTCGCCTGGCAAAGATATTCCATAACCCCCACCCAGCTAGAACAGACGGCTAATTCAAACTTGAATCAAATCTAGGTATGTGGTTCTCACTCTGCGTAGACGGCCCTGCCGCCCTCCATGTGGGCAATCCCTGCTCCTAGATCTAGTAATATAGAATCCTTCTCGGAGAGCGAAGAGACCAAAGCAGGACCCTCTCAAGAATCAACACACACGAGCGGGATGGTGCGCCTTTGGCCCTGAGACGCTGGCCCATATTCAGTGGCCAACAAGAGCCTCCGGATAGCAGGACCCTAGTCTAGACCAAGGTCGCATGGTGGGAGGGCGGCCCCGCATCGTCAAGGCATCGGCATCGTGAGCCCTGTGACGTCGAGCGCATCTCCACCATTGGCGTTTCCCCTCCTTTCCATGCTGCCTCTTCCTTGCCGGGACTTCTTCTCTCTCCGTCCCTGTCTTCTGTAACGTATTCCTTTGAAAATCGACAAGCTTTGTCCGGCCATCGCTCCACAAGACCCAGCCCGTCATGGCCGCCGCCGCCAAAGCCGCTGTCCCTGACAAGGACAAGATGAGTGTAGGTTGGAGCTGCAGAAGCAAAGAGTAAAGCCGAATAACCGAGGCGGTGCTTGCAGAACCTCTCGTTTGTCCTCAACGCCCCGCGCGACGTCTGCTTCGCCGAGCAGCCCAAGCCGGCCCTCGGCGACGCCCACGACGTGCTCGTTGCCGTCGACTACACGGGCATCTGCGGCTCCGACGTGCACTATTGGCAGCACGGGTCCATCGGCCACTTCGTCGTGCGCGATCCCATGGTGCTGGGCCACGAGTCGGCCGGCACCGTCGTCGAGACCGGCTCCGCCGTCACCGGCCTCGGCCCGGGGGACCGCGTCGCCCTCGAGCCCGGCTCCGGGTGCCGCCGATGCCCGGACTGCCGCGCCGGCCGGTACAATCTATGCGAGTCCATGGTCTTTGCCGCCACGCCGCCGCACCACGGGACCTTGACGGGGCTGTGGGTTGCCCCGGCCGATCTGTGCTATCGCCTGCCGGACACCGTGTCGCTGCGCGAGGGCGCCCTGGTCGAGCCGCTCGCCGTCGCCGTGCACATTGTGCGCCAGGCCGGCATCCGCCCCGGCCAGTCCGTCGCCGTCATGGGCGCCGGCCCCGTCGGCCTGCTGTGCGCCGCCGTTGCCCGTGCCCACGGCGCCGCCACCGTCGTCAGCGTCGACATCGTCCAGGCCAAGCTCGACTTTGCCCGCCGCTTCGCCGCCACGCACACGTACATGCCCCGGCCGCGGACATCGCCCCCAGACAACGCGGCCGCGATCCGGGCGCACGCCGGCCTGCCCCGGGGCGCCGACGTGGTCATCGACGCGAGCGGCGCCGAGCCGTCGATCCAGACCAGCCTGCACCTGGTGCGCATGGGCGGCGTCTATGTCCAGGGCGGCATGGGCAAGGCCGACATCTCGTTCCCCATCATGGCCCTGTGCCTCAAAGAGGTGACGGCCCGCGGCTCGTTCCGCTACGGGCCCGGCGACTACGAGCTGGCCATCCAGCTCATCGCCAGCGGCCAGGTCGACGTCAAGCAGCTCATCTCGGCCGTCGTGCCTTTCAGCCAGGCCGAGGAGGCCTTTCGCAGGGTCCAGGAGGGGCAAGTCATCAAGATGCTCATCGCCGGCCCCAATAACGACGACAATATCTGACATGCCCCGGCAAGCTCACGGCAACGCCCGTCCGGGGGAGGTTGCCCACGTCTGGTAAGCAGCCTCGTCAGCCTCAAGCCATGCCGCCGCACCGGCCTGTCCAGCCGGTCAGCGTCGTCATGAGCCCGTACTGCTGCGCTGTTGTGTGCATGTCTCGAAGGAAGCAGGAGGGCAAGGTAATGGGCTCGATGAATCTTCGTCGACTTTCTCTTTCCACGCACAGCGGGACACTAGGGGGTAGTGCGAAGTGGGAAAGCTGTAAATATCACACTTCCACCGGCGCTGTCAAAGCCATCTTTCTCGCTATCCTTGTCCCTCTCCTAACACGCACATGTGCATGGCAAGGGTCCATCTCTCCCGCAGTACCTAGCAGAGCTGAATCGCCTCACCCACACACCTCACGCTCGCACACACACACAGGACGGTAAGCATGGGCTCATGCGTGTTATGTGCATCACCAACCATGTCAGCCATCCCTGTCCCGCCACGTGAGCAGCCAAGGCAGACAGAAATAGATGGATGGCTAGGCAAGGGGGGATCGCGGAATCCAGCCGCGCCCGGTTTCCTCGGCGCTGACGACATGAATTCTCCGTCGTACAGGCAGTCTCATCTCTCTGGCCCTGTACCTGGCATACACTGACCTGGCCTTGTGAGAGTCCAAAGATCTGGACACGCATCCTCTCTTGTGAGAACCACTCACCGACACATCCCCACTCCGCCGCGGCTTTGCAAATGCAGACTTTGCCCAACAATAGGTGGGAGCACGTCCCTCTGTGCGCGATGTGCCCACGCGCCTCTCATTTCCCCGACAGATCCTCCCGAATTCTCCGTAGGCGTGATGAGTACTGCAAACCTACCGTACCAACCAACCATCGCATGCAGCCGCGGCCATTTGGCCGTGTCATTGGTCAGAAAGCCTCTCACTGCGACATTGAAGCCTTCGCCGGACCCCCCCCCTCAGCCCCCGTCCTCTCAAGAGTCGCGTCTCTCCATAGACAGGAGACTCCAAAATGGATTAAAAGAGGGCATCCGTGGCTGATCTGGCCACGGCCCGTGCCCCCGCGGCAGCCTGCTGTGGTCCAACCCTGGGACTCCATCACAGAAAGTGTGCGTGCGGCTGAGGGGCTGCCAGGGCGCCCTGTGGAGGCCCCTTGTCGCCGTGATCAATATTTCCGACGGCCCTGGCTGTGGAAGCAGCAACAATTAAGCGACGCCTCGCTACTCGCCTTTAAAGGTCTCGTCCCAGGCCGGGGGCGGGGAGGGGGGCGTGGCAGATGGAGCGGGTATAAGAAGGCGGCAGGCAGCCTCTCGCGCGAGGAGCTGGAGTGAGTGCTGAAAGAAAGAGAGAGAAGAGAGACTGTGTGTACGAACGCAAGAGGAGGCAAAAGCACATCATCGTAGCCCAAAAAGGAGGCATGAGGTGAGAGTGTCAACGGCGCTATTCGGTAACGAGGAAAAGTCGACGACCGAGCAAAGAGTCCCCCTGACCACCCAACGCCGTTGTCGCCATACCCGAGAGCCATCATGTACGCCATGGAGCAGCAGCCGCCGTCGCAACAGCAGCAGCATCAAGGGTATCAGGGCCACCGCGACATCCTTTCGACGCCCGTGTGGCTGCTGGCCATCCGCATTGCCCAGGCCGTCTTGTCCGTCGTCATTCTCGGCCTCGCCGCCTCGGTAGTCCACGATGCCTACCTCGACGAGCTGGGCCTTGCCATTGCAATCGTACGCCTCGTCTTCTTCTCTCTCTCTCTCTCCCACATTGTGCCCATGAGTCACGCCCAAGGTCGAAGTCCATGTAGATGAGATGGACTTTGAAAGAGGCTGGGTTATACACGTGTAGAGCATACGCTGACCTTTCTTTCACCAGTCCCTCATCACCGTCCTCATCGTCACATACTTTGTCGTAACGGAAAAGGTGGCCGCCTGCCAACCCGCCTACCATATTGTGGCCGTGCTGGCCCTCGACGCTTTCCTCTTGGTCCTCTGGCTCGCGACGTTTGCAGCCGTGGCAGCGCGCCGGGCTCGCTTCGTCTTTGACGTGGCTGTCGATGGCTGCTCCAACAACGGCGACCTCTTCAACAGCAAGACCTGCTTCGTCAAGCGGGCCGTCATCTTGTTCAAGCGCGGCGCCGATACAATGTCGGCTGCGGCTGGAATCGGAGCACTCGTGTGGTGAGTGGGATGGAGCATTGCCTCTCCTCCGGCGGTGCCACGCTGACAGGGTTCAACTTGGGCGACAGGATCCTCTTCATCGTCACCTTTGTCTGGACGCTTGTCCATTTCCTCAAAGGCCGCAAGCAGGGGCGTTTCCCGCTCAGCACCGGCAGCACCGCCACGGCCGAGACGAACCAGATGGATCCCAAGGTTGAGCAGCAGCAGCAGTATCAGACCCCGATTCAACAGCCCCAGGTCCATGGCCAGTACCAGCAGCCCACTCCGACGCAAAGCCCGCCTCCCCAGCCGGCGCAGAGCCCGTATCAGCAGCAGCCGCCGTTCTCGCCGCCTCCCGCAGGCACTTACCCGCCTACACAGGGCCAGCAGCAGCAGCAACATCCCTATAGACAATACCCGCAGTATTCGCAGCCGCAGCCGCAGGCGTACCAGCAGCCGGTGCAGCCGGTGCAGCCGGTGGGGAGCGAGCTGCCCGCGCAGCAACCGCCGCAGACGTATCAGCACCAGTGATGGGGCGCAGTTGATGGATGCCGGTATAGCTTTTGGGACATGAAGGAATAGATGTGAAATGTATTGCGACGCCTGCGGAGTTTTATACCTTTTTTGAGAAGCAGTTAATGACCCTGTTAATCATGATGCAAGTTGCGTCATGTACCGAGTCAATATGGCCTGCAAAGAACGTCGGACAAGTCCAACTTCAAGTGATTCTTCGACCCGGGGCCCTCGATGCTCTGTTGCTGCATACCGACTTCTTGTTGTTGAGAAAGTGAGGCATTCAAGTTTAAGCCGTCAAGTGCAGACGAACTTGTAGGTGGCCCCAGAATGGAAGGCGGTCGGGCGGGCAATTCTGCCGGCCCAGCTTCTCCTCTGCCAGCCAGCTTCAACCATGATTTTGGTCCGTCAGACACCCTCGCCCTCTGCCAGGTCGTCCAACGCTCCCTCTCCGCGACGCCTCTCCTGTGCCCTCGCGCCTCCAATTGACGGCATTTGGCCCTCAATGGCCGCCATGGCCTCGCAAAAGCCCCGCGACGAGCCCGAGAAGCGCCTCGGCGTGCCATCGCGCAACCCGCTGCCGCTGTCCGCCTCGCAAGAAGCCCAGGTGCGCGACCTCTACTATGCCCGCGTCCGCAAGCAGTGCACCGACGAGATCAAGGGTAAGCAAGAGGGCCCTCGCGCGCCGTCCGGCCCGCCCGACTGACCCCCCCACGCGACCACCAGCCTTTGCCGCCTGCGCCCTCGGCCGCACCTTTTCCGTCTCGTTTGCCTGCCGAGCCGAGCACCGCGCCATGAACAGCTGCATGAAGCTGCACGCCACGCAGCAGGAGCACGACGCCGCCCGCGAGGAGTGGTTCGCCCTGCGCCTCGAGCGCCAGCGCCAGCGAGAGCACAAGGCAAAGGTCGCCGCCGCCCAGGAGGACTTTATGCGCGAGTGGTGGGGGCTGCCCGAGGACGTCCGCCTGTCGCGCCAGAGGGATCTCGAGAGCCGCTACGGCGAGGAGCGCGTCGGTGGCATGCCGGCCAAGGACCGTCCGATGCAGGGTGGCACGGGCACCACGGCGAGATGACACGGGCCGGCGCCGGCGACGACTACGACGACGACTACGGACCATGGAGTTTTGGAGACTAGGCGCAAGGCAGGCGTTGCATTGCTCACGGCGTTTTTCCTTTTCCTCTTTATACAGCTGCTTCTCTGGTTTCCCCGGCGCCAAGTTATCCGGCAGGGCTCTCTAAAGACCACCGCAAGTCTTTTCACGCCCCTACGCTAGAATGCTCACGATGGACCAGCGGCAGTCCAGGTGGTGAGTGAGCGGTCTCGTGCGCAAAGACCAGATCGGCCATGTGGGGCCGAGCAACCCCGGAGCTCCGAGATTCAGCACAACCGACGGCGCCATGACCGGTCGCGCAGGTGCCGATGAGCCGGGCGTTTGTGGCGCCAGCCCATGTTCGGGACCCCTCCAAGGTCTCCGTCTCCCCTCTTTTCTCTCCTCCGGCCGTGTTTACCCAGCGGCCATGACCGCCTCGGTGTGTGCTGGTGAATGCGCCATTTGACGCCGCGTATTCGAGTTCCTCAATGTATAGCGGAGGAATTCATTCAAGATGGACGTTACCGGGGGGGCCAGGAAACAGCGGTGTGCAGGGCAATCGGGCGTATGCCGACCGCAGAATGTGCTCCTTTGGCCGCCAACGAGAGGCCCCAGGATGTCTAAGTTGTACAGAAGATGTGCCGCCGGGGCGCATCATGGATGCTCCAGGTACTCAAAGCCCGTCGAGCCAAACATGCAATGAAGACTCAAAGGCGGCAAGCTGAGGGCATGCCGTGGCCACCTCCCGCCCCTAGTCTGCCCGTGCCGCCCGCCCAGCCCGCGTGGGGAGGGTTGTGAGACACGAGAGAGTTGCAGCAAGGCACGTGGAGATGTCTTTCTTCATAAGATACTGTGGTTTGTTCATACGGAAATATGCTCCTCTTGGGCCAGAACGAGAGACGTCGAAGCAGAGTCTCCCCTGTCTCTTGAAAACCATCAACCAACCTCGCCTCTCTGATCACCCACACCCTCTCACCAGCGTCCACGATGAGGGCCAAACAAGACCATGACACAGAATACAAGCCCACGACCTTAGATCCAAGGGCTCCTTGAATAGATTAAGCGCCCGCCCACGACCCCGCGTCCGGCTCACACCCCGGTCCTCCCCGGCCCTCCCCGGCCTCGCCGTCCAATAAACGACGCGCCCCCTCAGCAAACTCGCGCCTCCGTCCAAATCCCAAGCCCGCTCTTCTCGGCCGGGCGCTTAATCAACAGGCAAAGGGGAGGCCAAAGGGGCCAATCCAGGGTCGCATCACACTGCAGCAGCAGCGGTTACTATTTTCGGCGTCCCCTTTCCGGTGCGCCGCTGGAGACGTGATTCGACGGCGGATGCGTCTGCAGATCAGACCCTCCTCGTGTGAGGATGGGAGATGGAAATGTAACTGTGCTCTTTTCTCCGTGCTTGGCCTCTGCCTTGTATATATCTTGTGTGAGCCCCATCCTGGCCCACCTCGACTCGCTTCTGCTCCTCGTGCAGCAGCAAGGAGAACGACTTCATTGCTTGCTCTCCATCACCCACCTCCAACGACTGACCGCAAGACCAACACGATGCGATGAGAAGGCATTGGTGATATCACGACGTTCGGCTTCAGCCCCTCCGCCTCACCCCAACTTTGCCAGCAACACCGAAAAGCGGCCTCCCGCCCGCCCAGCCCAGCATGGTGGCCCAGCCCCAAGGCAACCTGTCTCTCTTCCCCAGCCCGAGCTCGTCCGAGCCTCCGCACCTGACCCGGCCGCAAGCACCGTCGGCACCGCGCGGCCAGCCCTCTTCAGGAGAGCCTCGAGGGCCGAGAACACAGCCCGTGCTCCGTATCCGGACAACCGACGATGACTCCGCCCAACGCCCGGCCTTCAGGCCCATCGAGTTCGATCCGCCTCGTCGGGATCAAGGCCGCGTTGACACATCTGGCCACGGCCACGGAGACGGAGACGTCGGCCCCGCGCCCTCGTCGGAGCCGCAGCCGGCCCTGAGATCCATGTTCCCCATGTATAATCCCAGCCTGCCCCTGGACCAGCAGCAGTACGCACCCACCCAGACGAGCCCAGCCCAGTTCCCCCGGGCAGTCATCAGCCGGCAGTCGTATTACCAAGAGCCGCCGACCTCGCCGGAAGCCGTGGGTCGCCGGGAACCCGCCCCGGAGAGCAGATGGCCGCCCGCCAGGCTGCCCGCCCGCGAGCCCTCTGCCATGCCCCGGCCGAGCTCCACAAGCCAGCTCAGGGGCCTGTGGAAGGCCGCTAACGGGTGGAAGGCACGCGGCTCCGAGGGCCGCGTCTACTGTCTCTCCCTGTCGAGGCTCCGTGACGCCCCCGTGTACACCTGCTCGTCCGCCTCGTCGCAGCCCTTTTACAACCTCCGCCTGGATCCCACCTCGGCTTCCGCCTACGTCGCCATGACCCGGCACGACCCGGGGAAGCCGTACAAGCCCCCCAAGCCTGACGCCGTCTCCTCCTCTCCGTCCGGTAGCGAACACAGCGGCAGCAGGTCCTCGGACACCAAGGGCTGGCACGAGGCCCTCACGACGACCCTCGAAGAGGATTCCCGCAGGCACCCGCCCCACGACGGCCTGGTGGCGCTGCTCATGCCGACGCCGGCTGCCAAGATGGCCCTGGAGAGAGCCGACGACCCCGTTGCTGTCGCGACGGCCGAAAACGAGTGCGCCCGCCTCGTCTGGGATGACGACGCAGCCACCCACTTCCTCGTCCACCCGGCGCTCGCGACCCCCTTCAGAGCCACCATCGAGGGCTTCCCCGCCTACTCGCGCACAGAGTACACGCTCGAGCATCACGAGTCCCCCAAGCACCTTGCCAAGCTGACCCGCGACGGCACCGGCGGCGGCTGGATCGAGATCGACACCACAGTCGCCTCCATGATCGACTCCTACTACATTATCGACGTAGTCGTCGCGGCTCTGATCCTCGTGGCCTCTGCCGACGACAGAAACACGCCGTCTCCTCAGGAGACCTTCGAGCCGCCACCGCTGCCGCCACGTGCAGTGCTCGCCGGCGGGACAAAGCGCAGCTCTAGCCGGTTCGGAGTCCCGGGTATGCGACGCAAGGATAGGAAACGGAGTGGGCGAAAAGTAGAAGAGTTTGAGATGGACGTCGAGAGTCAAGATGGGAGCATGGGCAAGAGCAGCGGGGTCAAGCGCGCCGAGTCCAAGCACGCCGAGTCCAAGCGGCCCTTTGTGCTCCGGGCGATGATCAAGGTCGCCAAGGGACTGTTCAAGTGCGCCATGTGGGTGGCGACCATCTTGTTCAAGTGCGTGGCCGGCGTCTTCAAGCTGTTGTATAGATGCGTGGGGTCCAAGTATTGAGGTGTTGATGGCGAGGTGAGGGCGTTGTGGCGTGTCTTGCAACGCGATATATCAGTCTCCTTGCTCTTTTTACGGCCATCTGAGTTACTGGGGTTGGGCGGACAGGACCACGACAGACGTTGACACGGAATCATGACAGACGTGGATTAGAGCCGCGATACCCATTGGTAACATGAACGATATAATATCCCTGGCGCCGCCGCCGCCGGAAGGCGGAGCTCCTCAGACGAGCAGCTCATCGCTTCCGTGTCCGCACCATGATTTTGCTGCCTTTTCTGGTCCGCCCTCCCGATGTTGCCGTTTTTGCCATCTTTGCCCTCTGGGTTTCCAGTTCCCTCTCGGCGTCTGTCAAGGCCTTGAGCTTCTTGCGAGCGTGCTCGAGCTGTCTCTTGAGTCTTCGGAGTGCCTTAGCCCTTTCAAAATCGTCATTCTCGCTCTTCTTTGCTCCGTCCTCTTCGTCTTCTTGGTCCGCTCCCAGGGCGTCCTGCAGCGCCTCGTCTCGCTCCTCCACGTCATCGGTGAAGATGATTTTCCTCGGTGCTTTCCGCTTTGCCGATTGGGGCAGTTCATTGTCGTCATCATCGTCCAGATCTTCATCGTCGTCATCTTCCTCTTCCAATCGATCCAGCCCACGGGTCAAGACGACCTGCTCCTCGAGGCGCGCAACCTCCTTGGACACAACCTGGCGCATCGTGCGCACGTAGCCCATGTCCTGCGTCTTGAGTAGCCGGACCGTGTCGAGATCCAAGGCCTTGTTGCCGCGGTCGCCTTGAACAGTTCCATTCCAGCTCTTGCCGCTCGTAATTCTGGATCCGGGCCCCTTGCGGGACATCATGCCAAAGTAAAACTCATCCTCGTTCCGGTCGGCGGCCTTTTGCCGCAGCGACTTGAGCTGGGCCTTTTTCTTGCCGTAGTCCTCGGCACGCAGAGAGTAGTCCTGCAGGCCGGTCAGCAGTCACGCAACGCCATGAAGACGTGGGGGCAAAAAAACAAACCTTGTGCTTCTCGAGGAGGCCCAGTCGGCGGCGCTCCAGGGGCTGCGCTCGCTCACGGTGCGGCCGCCGCTGAACGGCGTTTCGCATGGAAGACATATCGAACGCTTTCCGGAGACGATCACGTTTGGAGAGGGTCAAGAGACGCGTGCGGCCACTTTTCTGAGCGTGGGATCTGAAGTTGAGGTTGTCGATGGCTCGAGGCGGGAAGGTGGCAGAATTATGGAAAATTTGGGCGGTGAGGTTGAGAGTGGCCTGTCAAGTCACGTGCACCCCTCTGCTGCGCCGACACACGGTTCAGTGGGTCTCTTGATCTCGGCTTCTCAAGACAACTATCGCGGGTATATATTCTCCACCCACTCCACTCACAGACGTCGTCCGACTGGAGACAAAGCCTTTTCTCTCTGCCTTGGTACCTTTGGAAAAGGTGCAAAAAGTGTTGGCGTTGAAAAGTGGCAGAAGTGTGTGTCTCTGCCACTCTGGAGGAGAATTGTCTTCTCACCGAGGAATCGGGGACAAACTCGTCGACACTCGACACGCTCTGCGTGCATATCGTCGTGGCGTTGATCTCCAAACTTGACAGGTTTGTCTTGCATTCCTTGACTCTCTCCCTTCATATCTAGAGTTCCCGAAGCTCGTAATCCCCGTGTCCTGCCTCCTTTTGAGGCTTATCAGACACCAAGGCCTCCCAAGCAAACGTGAGAAGCGCCGTCAAACGCACGTTTGGACAGCTAGCCAAGACACCGTGTAGCAGGAAATTGCGGCCGTAACGGGGAGTGAGTTGCGTCTCGACAGAGCAGACTCTTGAATGCATGCAAGATGTCCAACCAAGATGATAATGGTGACGCCGGCGGAACGGTGACCATCTTGTGGTGCACGAAGCCCAAGTCACAGTGTTACAAGCTCTCGATGCAGCTGCTCACCGAGTCCATCCACTCTGCCGAGTTCTGTGGCATTCAACCTGGTTAGTGGCTGTTGCCCTTAGAACTCGCACTCGTGCCGTCTCACCTTGAAAGCGTCGACGTATTTCGTAACGGTACCGTGCATTCGGTCGCCGTTTGGCTCCACGACAGTTTGGCTCATGTCGCTGAGCAGGGCGCGGAGCTTCTGAGAGCTGAGCTTCGGAAAGTTGGGGCACTGGGGCGGGTGTGAGCCACCTATGAAAGGCATGCCCAACGGGCCACGAGGGAGCCATACCTTTTCTTCCATAACTTGTATGGTCTCCTGGATTTGCGTCTCTGTCGAGTAAAGGCTGCGTCAGCACGTCATCGACGCCTCGACTTCTATTCCATGTCCTCCAAAAACCTACCCATGATGCTGGCGAGCTTCATCGACCCGGCCGTGGCGGCCATGGCAGCCGGGATGCAGGCCGCAGCGCAGTAGAAGAGAGAAGCCTTTGTGCGTTAGTGTAAAACGCACGTTCTGCGACGAAACTTGATAAACTCACCTTCATCTTTACTTGTCCGCGTGTCTTATTACCTGGTGTTAAAGGCTCCTGTACAGCAAGCGATCATTCATCCGCCGTTCAACTGAAACGACGTAGGCAGAAAAGGCGAGCACGCAGCCTTATACGACAGACTACTCTATAGTTCTGCAGACGACGAGTCCTGGTGGAGTCAAATGCCCGATGCTCCAGAGTCTACTAACTCAGGGCAGCTGCATAGCGTCGATTTCGTTGTACGGCAACCTCTGAGACATAGACCATCGATCGGCAGTCTCAAATGCTCTTGCTGAATTCCGGTAGCCTTGCACATGACACCGGTAGCACAACTTCACAAGGGATGATGCCAAGCCATCCGAATTTCAGTAGCCTAGCTGGCCAAATCCAAGGCACCACAACCGTTAACAGGGGCCTGCGCTCACGGGGCATATACTGCTTTCAAGCTGTCTTATTGCCGAGTCGGGTTCCCTGGAAGCCCATGATACGATGGGAAAGGGGTTCGCAAATTGATGGGGCAATCCTTCCTCGTACCGTAACCCTTGACGTCAGCTGGGTAGCAAGGGCCCCCAATCAAGATCCGAGCTGAGTGGACCTGGACATACTGGAACTAACTGGGACATACATCGTCATTTCGTTTCTACGGATACCACTGAGTGACGGCTGATTGAGATCCAGGGTGTCGGTTGCCCCAAACCTCAAGCGATGGCAACATCTCTCCCAGCAACCAGAGCAACTGGAGCGGCGGGACGGAGAGACAAGCGTCCTGCTTGTCGGCCCCGAAGAGATAAGGTTGCTTTATTAGCGTAAAGACAAGGCAAGCTATTTGAGACGCCCGGCCATAATCTCCGAACACTGTCTCCTCATTCCTGGCGATTTCATGGCAAGGGGACATCGAATAATGTGCTCTGCACGGATTCCATGCGCAAAATGGTTAGAGGGACGAGAATGCAGTCAGCTACCCGTTGCCGCGGTTGGATGTCTGAAGCGGAGGGATGGTATTGGTGACCGGTCCTCGCACAAATGAGAGCGCCTATATATACCAATATCCACTCACTCTGCCGGCGCCATCCTGCTTGACTGGCCTTGGATGTAACCAGTCACGTTTCCAGCAGAGGAGTGAAAATACATGTCAAAATGAGGGTCCCCCAATGGGTTTTGGGCTTCCTTTTGCCATATTTGGCAGTCGCGCAGTTTCAACCGATCCTGAATCTCTGGGATAAGCGATTTCTCAACTATCAGAAGCCTGGGCCGACTGACTGTAAGAGCCCGCCGAGCCATCGAGCGCTCTCGCGTATGTGCACGCAGACTCTGATATCCACGATGCAGCTCGCAGCCCTTGTCCCGGCCTCAACGCCCTCGCCAACCATGGCTTTTTGCCTCGAAACGGGCGCAACGTCAACGCTCTCGACATCATCCTCGGGCTTTTCCTCGGGCTCGGCGTTTCGCCCGAGACGAGCGGCATCGTCATTGCCTTTGGCTTGGTCTCGAGTCACAATCCGCTGAGCCTGAGCTTAGACCTCGAGGATCTTCGGAACCATCACTTTGTCATTGAGCATGACTGCAGTTTCGCCCGCAATGACGCCTTGATCGGCGACAATCTCAACTTTAACCCGAAGCTCTGGGCGATTGCGCTCAAGGAGATGAACAAGACGTCCGTCGTCAACCCCTTCAACTTTGGCAGAGGCAAGGCTGCCCGTGTCCAGGACCAGAGGAGACGCAACCCCAGGACGGTGTATGGGCCTCGGGCTTGGTTCAATGGCTTTTCCGAGGTCGGCCTCGTCCTGTCCACCCTCGGCACCGTTCCGGGCTTGGCCAAGCTCGAGTACGTCAGGAGCCTCGTCGAGGAGGAGAGACTTCCCTATCACCTTGGTTGGAGACCGAGGCCCTTCTTCTGCAACCTGGCCACCATGTTGGGTGTCGGTGCTGCGTCCGTTCTTGGCGACAACTACCTGCTGCAAACGGTTGCCAGCGTCGTCCTGTCTACGCCGTCGGTGAGTGATGACGGACATGGAATTCACATAGGCAGCAAGCTGACAGGCCACAACAGGAAATTTTGCAAGTCTTCATCCCGCCAAACTTGGATTTCCTGCCCGAGTTGGAGAACATGATTCTCTCCCTCGGGTTTGATAATGGCCCGATGAAGAAGCTGAGCAAGGCCTTGCACGCGGTGAGCAAGCACAAAAAGATTGTGCACCGCTCCACAGGCACAATGCAGAGCGTAGCATTGCAAGACCTGATTGCTGCTTTGGGGGGCGACAACGACCTCCAAGGTTCTTTCGCCGGGACGCTGGAGTCTGGACTGGAGAATCAGGAACAGGCTATCAAGGCGGATTAGGGCGCCATCGCCGCAGTTTCGAGTTGTTCGTAATAGCAGCATCGTCATGAATCATGATCAATCCGGCATTCACTAGGACGGCTAGGAGGTGCTACGGAAATGTGGGATATGTTGATGAGTAGAAAACTCTCCAGCGGTATATAGGCTGGCTAAATGCTGATTATTTTGGCTGGGTGTACTTTTCCACTTGTTGAACGACGAATACAAGTGCGCGCGGCTTTGCACAACCATTTGCTCGCCATCTTGATGCCGCCATCTATTTCATGGTCACTGCAGCATAGTGCTTGTGAATGTATATGCTGAGGGGACTTTACTGTTTCTTCTGTGCAACATCGGTCCAGCTTCACCCTATTTCGTGTGGAGAGCTTTGGACGCCAGAAGCACTGAGCCTCGGTGCAGCAAACACGATGGGGTATGTTTCAAAGCAAGTAGACATCGGATCCCTTCAATTTGAACGCTGATCTGGAACTCTCTCTCGTTGTGCAAAGCCGTGTCTCAGCAGGTCGTGGAGGAATGCTCTTTTGAGGACGCGAGATCCGCCTCTGCACACCAGTACACGCCCACCTTCACAATGGCACCGGACCACTTGATTGGAGCTGGAACAGACTGACGCGGAATGCTTGAAGCTCCAGTCCTCGGCGAGACAAGACTCAGTTGGCATCATCGCCGAGCATACAAACACGAGCTCGAGAAGATGGAGCAGACATCCAGTCGTTGATGATCATGGCCAGGTATGGGCTATCACGGAATTCTATCCAAGCTGTCGGCGGCTACGGCACGAAAAGAAATAGCGAGCACGCCCTTGATTGCAATACACAGCTGGTCAATCGGGAATGGAATGGTCGTGTATAGCCCATGTCTAGGCCCCGTCCCATAGGCAGACAAGAAAGAGGAAGAAGATGTGGGACTTTCCTGCTTAAAGTCGGAGATTTCTGGCCGTTACTCACCTTCTCCAAGGCAGGTTTTTGACAGTCATGCAGCCGTGTAGCCAACTAGCTACATGATGGGCATATATATGCTCATATAGAACCAGCTTTTACTCCCGTCTCGCCGGCGGCATCGTTCATTCATCCCGACCTAATCTTTCCTTTCTCCAATCACCGCAACGCGCTCCTAGTGGCGCCCTGTCTCTCTCTCTCCATCATGAAGTACCTATTCGCTCTCTTTCTCACCTGCCTTTTCGGCTGCGTCATCTCCACCCCCATCCAAGCCGGCGCACGCGACGTCCAAGGCGACCTCTTTCAATCCGCTTCCGAGCTGTCAGAGATGGAGGCCAAGAAGGTGCCCGACAACAGGATCTCGAAGCCCAACGAAGGGTTTCTCGGCAGCGCCGTTATACTTCCTGGGCTCGTGGGCGCCTTGGGAGACTTGTTCAAGGGCATCGTGACCCAACACCTGCCGTTAATTGGCGGCCTCGACAAAAGGGACTAGACAAGATTTTAAATGGGCCTGAGAAATCATGACATGGGGTCATGGGTGAAGAGGCTACGACATTAACTGCGACGCCGACGTGGCACGCGGCTGTCTGGGTAATCATGGCCACGTTACCGTGGCTGGAACAAAATGACGCACGAAATCAGAAGGACTTGTAGGCTCTGAGCTTCTCCAGCGATTGGCCAGTGCTGAGACCTCCGGATATGTATTAGTCGTTTACATATAATTCGTAGACAGAACAGCGAAACTCCCAGGAGGTCTTTCATAATACCAGGGGGCATGAAGGCATTGGGATCAAAACTACAGGTCTCGCGCCAATGCCGCTCACTCATGTTGTCACAGGGGCCAAAACACTCTATGGTTCTTGAGTCCATCTTCCAGTATCCACTCGGCTGTGAGCGGACACTGAGTTGTGTCTGCGATATCTAGAGGAACGAAATTGTCACCAAAGAGGCCCCAGATAAGGATACTCCTGTCCAAAACACCAAGCTCCCCGTCTCTCCTGTGGCAGAAAATTCCATCACAGTTGGCCCGTTCATTAGTACCGCGACATTCACCGAGTCGTCCTGTTGACTATTCGAAATATACCGACGGGAGCGAGTAAGAGCCCTTGACTTTGGACATTACCGTCGGCAACTCGTTGTTTGACAAGTGTATGATCTAGCTTTCCCATCTCACATTTACTCGTGCCGGGGCCTGGTCTTAAGACGGCAGCTTCAGCACTTGGCGGGCCATTGAAGAACCCTTGGCATCGATCGAATGAACCAGCTCAGTTGCACAGTCGCGTGTTACTTGGGTAACTCAACCTGTGCCCTTGCCAGCGAATAATTTTCCCACCCCTCTGCCGGTCCCGGGGGTGGCTCGATTTCAACTGTATGGCAAAGCTTCAGACGCTTTAATGGAATATACAATGCCACCCTGTGCGGCAGTGGTAGTTTTGCATCTGGCCGGCAAAGGGGTCTTGAATCCTCCGAAGGAACCCCAGCACCGGTGACATTTGCATACCACGCTAGGATATAAATCGATGTTTGAATCCAACTACAGTATAATACATGCTGGGTCGTCGTAATACTTTTCCAAAATTGCAAGTACCTCTGTTTCCAGGTATCCGCGGGAACAAACCTCGGGCGAGTGAGTGGCGCTATAGTCACATTATCCCCATCTCCTATAGTCGGCCTTGCTGCCTACAGCGCACTCACATGACGCCGGATGCGAGCATCACTTTACAAAGATACATGGAGAGGCGGATATAGGCCTACATGAGAGACCATGACGCCGTGGACAAACTGTACCAAGTAAGTGCCCCCCTTTCTTCACCGTGCTGCGTGCTAAGGAAAAGGCCGACAGATGGCAAGGACCCTAACCGGGAGAGCGAGTTACCTGGTATATCAGCAGCACACTGATGAACTCGATGAAGTAGTGGGTGAGCAGTGGCACCTGTTACTCTTTGTAGCACTTCAGTCATTGGCGGTTCGCTAATACGAAAGGCCATTACAGAGAATACATGTTCTTGGTTACTCTCAGCCGGGTTAACTGCCATTAGCAAGCTAACATGCTCGACTATGAAAGATGGTGAGCAGCCCTTTTGCCTGCAACCCTGTAAGTCAGAGCGCTGACACGAAAAAGCTGTTATAGGATGTGAATTAAGTGCTTTCCTGTGCTGGTGATCCAAGCTTAGTACTGCAGCCCAGCTGACAGTCATGAAAACATCAGCCTGTGGCTGTCACCGAAGCCCGCTGGTTCTTGTGCCATGCCAACGGCGGAGATGGCCTCTCGACAGATCTTCGCTTCACCCTAATAACCCTAACCGCGACGACTTGGCGTTCCGGGCAGTTCATAAAACTCGGTCCCAACAGACGGCGACCTCCGAGTAATGTACAAGGCGAGGAGGCAATGATGATGATGCAAGGAGACCGATCAGGCAAGGGTAGCAATTATGCGGGTGGGGAAGGATGCTTGAGGTATCGTGGAGTCGACTCGTTTCGCTACGGCTGCAGGCATTAAGAAGCTTCATTCGAGCATCCGCTATTGGTCACAGCAGGTCCGATCAGACAGGCCAGGGAACACGTACACGCCGGCTTCTAGGGCTTGCCAGGAAAAGGCAAGGCCAAGCAAAACAAACATGAGAACGCGGCTTTCGGATCATCGAACTTTCGTCGGGCACGTTACAAGGCCTTCCAAGCTTACCGAGTCTCAACTGCTTGTCCGGTGTCGTTACGCGCGCATCTTACATGACCATGATACACTATAGTACAGAGGCGATACAGCCGGCGAGAAGACACGCCAGGAATCGCAACAGGCACTGGGTAATCTAGCCCCTTGAACGGAGCTCGAGGCCATAGGGCGCCAGCTGCTCGTTGGTGATGTTGCTTGGCGACCGCATAAAGGCATCCTCGCCCTTCATCGTCTTGGGGAAAGCAATGACGTCCCGCACCGACGCCGTGTCCGTCATGAGCGCCACCAGCCGGTCGAACCCCAGTGCGAAGCCGGCGTGCGGCGGACAGCCGGCCTGGAGCGCCTCAAAGAGGTGCGAAAAGTCGGCGATCCTCTGCGGCGGCATCTTCAGGACGTCGCGCATGATGAAGTCTTGCACCTCGGCCACGTGGTTACGCTCGCTGCCGCCACCGACTTCCACGCCATTGAGCACCAGGTCGTAGGCGGCGCTCCTGGCCTCGAGTGGTTTGGTGAAGAGGAGCTCAAAGTCCTTGTCAGACAGTGGAGCGGTAAACGGGTGGTGGCAGGCAGCGATGCCCGCCGCTCCGCCCTGGCCCGGCTCACCGTCGTCGACGGGCTTGAACATGGGGAACTCGGTCACCCACGCAAACTGGAGCGAGCCCGCGTCTCCGAGACGCGGCTTCTCCATGTACCCCTGCTCGATGAGCGCTCTCCATAGCATGGCCCGTAGATCGCCAAGCTTCGTGGAGCCCGAGTGGTGCTGGCCAGTGGGTTTCTGGCGGACTTGAAAGACCACGAGGTCCCCGTCTTTAATCTCCCCCTCGTCCTTTGCCAGAGCCAGGACGCTCTCGTACTCGGGGCCAAGCGAGGAGAAGCCCCGACCAGGCTTGCTCGAGTCGCATACGAGTATCTGTGGCATGCCGTCGGGATTGTCGCGGATAGGGGACGGCAGGGCATCCATAAAGGCAGTTACGAATTTGTGAGCCTCTTTGGGCGAGCAGCCTTTCAGGGGAAGCGTGCAGAACTCGACAAGCGGGTCAGGGAGGTTTGCGATCATCCTCAGAAAGTGGCTGATTGGCTCCACTTCTTGAATGGCATGGATCCGATTTGGTATTCTCAAGTCGGGCTTGTCGGTGCCGTAGGCGGCCATGCTGTCGGCATAAGTGATTGTGGTGAAAGTATGGGCATCTGTCGTAGCCGTGGGCGCGGAATCGCTGTGAATGTCGGCTATGAACGGTATCCTCAGTCCGTGGACGGATTTGTAGCTTTGGGCCGGGCGAAGAGCGGAGAGGGCTTTGAGGATGAGATTGCTAACGTCCCTGATGACATCGACTGATGTCGCATAGGCCCATTCCATATCGAGCTACAAGGGGGGGCAAGGTTAGACTTTGTACGGATGCCAAGGGAATTGGGTGCTGCTCGCCTGAGAAAACTCAGGCTGCCTGTCAGCTCGCAGGTCTTCGTCGCGAAAACAGCGAGCCCATTGCATGTAGCGGCCGAGGCCACTGGCCATGAGAATCTGCTTGTACTGCTGCGGGCTCTGGCTCAAGGCATAGGCAGTGCCCTTGTTCCGGGTGGGAACTAGGAACTCTCGAGCACCTTCGGAAGTGGACTTGAACAGGGTGGGAGTCTCGATGTCGATGAATCCTCGTTCCAGCAAGCTCTGGCTCAGCACGCCTTTGAGCCACGACCTGAACCTCAAGCGAGCCTGCAGCTCCGGGTGGAAGCGTATCTGAAGATGGCGCTTTGAGGGCGGAAAGTGAACACCGGGGGTGACAATGAGATCCTTGGAAATGCTGTTGAGAGGCCTGATGTCGCGTAGCGTGACGGTTCGCTTGGTGGTGCCCGGGGATTGCGCATCATCGGCCGGAACAGGGTCTTTGACGGCGCGGACGCGGACAGGCGACAAGGCGAGGGTCTGGCGGAACTTTTGGTGGACGAGGTTGTCGTCGACGGCCTTTGAGCATATTTGGATGACCTCGCCAGAGGGGGTGAAGAGGTCGGAAAAGGAGAGGAGCTTGCCGACGTTGCGTTGCTTGCCGAGGAAGCCTACGAAGACGTCCTCGGACTCGGTCTTGGGCGGTAGAGGGGCGTCGCGGTCTGGACAAGGAGCCAGCATCAGCGAGGCGCTCTGAACAGCTTCACGCAGTGGCCGTACACTTGTTCCAGAGCTGCATGAGCTCTTCCCGCCTGGCCTGCGGCCGTTGGCCAGGCTCATCGCGGGCTTGGGAGTTGGAGTGGCGCACCAAGCACCTGGCGAGGGATGACGGCCTCTGAAGGGCGCCGTCACGGCCACTCAGGGCGACGCCGCAGCGACACGAGCGAAGCATCATGGCCGAGGAGGCTCGTGGCCCGAAATGTCAAGCTGGTGGTGAGGAAGTTTTGGTTTAGTCACCGCTCTGGTTGGGACTCGATTACAATCTTCCGGGCGGGTACCTGCAACTCAGGGCACCTGCAACCAGGGCACCTCCTTGCCAGAAGAGAGCAGTGACGGGCCGAAGGAAGTGTACACGTATGTTCAGCTGAGCACGAGGAGCATGGAGCACCTGTCAATGACGGCGGATTTCCAATTCTTACGCCGTATCGCGCTCGTCTTTAGATGGCTGCTCTAGGTGTAACTTATATTACCAAAGTACATTTTGGCGGCAATATTCCGCTTCAATTGAGCCGCCGCCCCACATGACGCCCCAATAAATTCTCAACTCGCCCGAATCTTTTCTCTCTTTTTTTCCCTTCTTCTCCATCCCTTCCATTCAAAGAAACGTACGCCCCCCTCCCCCAAACAACCCGCGCCCGCTCCCGTGGCTAACTCAGCTCTGCAGATGATGAGAACCGCGTGTACAATATGATGCAGATGCCGCTCTTCCGAACCTCCGGACTCTCCCTTCGGGGCATCAGTGGTCTGGGGGCGAGGCAAGTGTCGGTATTGTGAAATGGGCGTCCGACACACCGACCTTGTTACAGCATCGGACGCGATGGAAAACAGCTCTGATTATCATGAATGGAAGGTGTCTTTTTTTTCCTTTGGGTCTAGAATCTGGAGGCTGGGCTGGCTGTCTTTGTTTCGACAGGGGCATTGGCGACTCTTGACCTGTTTCCCATGTCAAACTTGCCTCCTTCGCAGTGGAAGTCCACGTGAAGCTGCCCTGCCCTTGTAAGGGTCGCTCAACTTGTTTCTAAACCCTTATGTATCCCAGGTCTGTCCTGCATCATGCTCCCGCCTACTGGCCGTTTTATTGACTTGCGACTGTTATGTGGTCGCGCCGCTTGATCTAGTCGCACATGTTCTCTTGTGATTCTGTAGACGGAGAAATGTACCTCGCACAGGGTGGACCATTCGACGGCTGGCTGCTTGAGTCCCCGCACTAGTGTCTACCAGTTGAAGTTCTGAAGTTGCCGACTGGCCGGTTTTGCCGTCCTTGGATTGCAAGCGTGAGCGAATTGATACTGAGCTCCAAGTGTGCGTCCATCTCCCCGTGCTCTTGCCGGAGCAAGGCCAGATCCCGAACTCTGGTGCATGGCGGCCTCAAGGACCGTCTTTTTATTACGTAGCTTGGCAATCAAGGGATTGATTATCGCGTCTAACGCGGAGCAAGTGCAGGTTGAGGTGACGCTGTGTAAGGGCTGGCCTGATTGAGAGCCTAAGTGTTCTTGCCCCGGCATGAGATGGGCATAAAAGGGGTCTGCGGGTGGTCATGTCCTCGCCTTTTGTTCATTTAATGCCTGCTCATGTACTGTGCATTCTAAGGCGCACGACTAATTAATTAAGGTCCTGGTAGAAACGCGCCCCAGCTTGCATAAACAACAATGACGTAGCTCTTGAATCGTCGTAAACGGGTGCCCATCAGTGAGCACTTCCACCGGTGCTCCTCGAGGCACCTTCATACCCGACGGTGGCCATCGGAGGGGAGGCCATTCTGAGTCGAGCGAGGGAGGCTCAGCCGTAGACGCAGCAACCCTCCGCCAGAAGAGAGACACGCGGTGTCCATGCCAAGCATCAGGGCTGTTCGCAAGCTACGGAGGCCATGGCGTCAGTGGGTGGGGGAGGACTGCCTTGGCATCTTGGGTGCCTTGCTGGATAATGCCCTTTTGTTACGTCCGATGAAGAAGCCAATGATGGAGCAAAGGACGCAGTGACTCAAGACGGCGCCGGAGAGACAAGTGCGGAGAGGGATGACGAACACCTGCTGCGGTACAGGGCCTTTGCTGCTGTAGAGCGCCGAGTGCGCAGTACGGATGGATACCTGTGGTCCAAACAGTCTCCCGCTGCCCCCGCCGCCATTGACCCAGGCGTCGGCCACGCCTCAGCGTTAGCGCACTCGTACCAAGCCGGCCCACCTAGGGAATCCATGCCCAGCCAACTCCCAACCACCATCACGGCTGACGAACGGCATCTTCACCAAAAGACTGCTTGGTCTGCCCATCGTCTCCGCCCGGCAGAGCTGCCGCCGCCCAGTATCCTTTTTATCCTCCTCCCACGTCTGTTCTTCCCTCCCTCTGCGGCCGCCCTCGTCACCATGTCGAGCTCTTTCGAAAAGTCCGTCAAGGGCGCAACCAAGATCAAGGTGCGGCCTCTCGTCTCGCAACGTCGCCTTTCCGCCCTCTGCCCATCACTTGCGTCACTCACCACCGCCCGATTCCCTTGCCCTGTCTCGCCTCTCGCTCTCCGCCTCGCGCAGCCTGCCGGCTAACCTCGCTCTCTCTCCGCAGAATGCGCCCCCAAAGACGAAATACATCGAGCACATCCTCGTCGCCACCCATTCCGGTGAGGCGGGCATCGGCGAGGTCTTCCGCGCCCTGCAGCACCGCCTGCGCGACTCGACATGGACCGTCGCCCTCAAGAGCCTCATCACCGTCCATCTCATGATCCGAGAGGGCTCTCCGGACGTGACGCTCGTCTTTCTCGCAAAGCATCGCAACATGTTGTCTCTGGGTCACATTTCAGACGGTTGGTTGCTTCTCCCCGGTCCATCGTCCCTTCTAGCTGACGCATCATGACGGCGACAGCGCAAACTCAGGGCAGAAACATACGTCACTACGCCAACTACCTCGCCGAGCGCGCGCGCGCCTACCGCGACACGAGAACCGACTGGGTGCGCGCCCCCGAATCCAGGCTCGAGAGGCTGTCGGTCGACAAGGGCCTGCTGCGCGAGACCGAGACGGTCCAGCACCAGATCTCGGCCCTCGTCAAGTGCGATGTATGTCGACGCCATGCTCCTCCGTTGCCACGCCGACTGATTTTCTTGCAGGTTCTCGAGTCAGAGCCCGAAAACGAAATCACCATTGCCGTCTTCCGCCTGCTCGTCTTGGACCTCCTTGCCCTGTTCCAAATGGTGAACCAGGGACTCATCAATATTCTAGGTGTGTCCTTGCGTCCGGGCAATGTCGGCTCCCTTTCAACACACTTACCCTGACTCTTCTAGGCCACTTCTTCGAAATGTCCAAGCCCGATGCGGAAAGAGCTATGGACATTTACCGCACGTTTACGAGGCAGACAGACGCAGTCGTGCAGTATCTCAGCGTTGCACGCCTCCACGAGCACCATACGCGCGTCGAGGTGCCCAAGCTGAAGCACGCTCCCGTCAACTTGGGCCGCCAGCTGGAAGAATACCTGAAGGACTCCGACTTCGAGGTCAACCGGAGGCAGTACCTCGCTGAGCAGGATGCCAAGAAGAAGGGCATCAGGACCGCTTCGGGCAAGACGGCCAAGGCAACTGGCCTAGCGTTTCCCAAGCCCTCATCGCCGGCCGCCAACAACGCCTTTGTCGTCTCCGGTGACTCGAAGCCTCAGGCTAACAAGGGGCCAGACCCGGACCTCATCGACTTCTTCGACTCCATAGAAGAGAATCAGACCACGATGCAGGTGAACCCGCAGCAGGCCCCCGCTGTCCAGATTAACTCAGCGCCGTTTCAGCCGCAGCAGCCCGCCATGTCCTTTCCGCCAAACGGATTCGCCCCGCAACCCACCGGCTTCGTGTCCAACGATCCCTTCCAGCAACAGAACATGACGTCGCAGCCGCAGCAGCTTCAGCCCAACTTCACGGGGGCCGGCTTCGGCGGCTTCACGCCCATGCCCCAGCAAGGCTTCCAGCCGGGCGCGCTGGGACCCATCCCGCAGAACTCGACGGCCAGCTTCCAAAACCAGGGGCTTCCCGGCCAGCAGCAGGTTGGACTGCAGCCGATGCAGACTGGCCAGACGACGAATCCCTTCCGGCAGTCGATGCTGATGGCGCAGCAGACGGGCATGCAGAGCAGCACGCCTCGCTTTTCGGCGGCGAGCGGCACACCGGCCTTGAACCGCCAGTCCACGAACCCCTTTGCCCGCTCCCCTCCCCCGGGTTCCTCTCCCTTCCAGTCGCAGCCCCCGGCCGCCGTGGCGCCGCTCCAGCCCATGGCCACGGGCACCAATCCCTTTGCCCGGAGCAGCCCGCAATCCCTGGAGCAGCAGCAGCAGCAGCAGGGCCAGATGCAGGCGGGGCTTTTGCCGCAGCCGACAGGGACGACGAACCCCTTCCGCCACGGTGCCTTTGTCAACCACGCCACCGGCATGGGTTGGCAGCACAACCAGGCCCCCATCGGCGGCGGCATCGACCAGCTGTCGACGGTGCCCGTTTTCCCGCGGCCGGCGCAGCAAACACCCTGGCAGCAGTGATGCCGTCAACGCCTCTCACCCCTGCCACGGCTGCATAGGCGCTGGTGGGGATGCGTAACCTCTGCGTTTTTCGTTTTTCTCGTCAACTCACTCATCATATTCTTCCCAGCTTGCCGGCTCGGCTTTTCCGGATTCCGTGCTTGTTGTCCCCCTTTGTGCTTTGCCCCTTCGAGAAGAGGATTTCTTTGCAGGCCCGATACGTATTACATCAACTCAGCGAGGCGTTGTTTGGGGAATTCAAGATTGCACCCGGAGGAAGAACCACCGCGGCATGTCTGCCGAGGCAACATGAGGCCAACGAGGGAGCGCGGCGAGGTCGGTTTGGACGCGGCCATCTCTGCAGGGAGTGCTGCCTCGCATGTCGTCCCAACGCATTTTCTTTTGACTAGAGAACTTTGATGGCAGACCATACCAGTCATGACTAGCCGCTGCCTTGTGCATGGTCATAACCAGTGTGAGTGTTGTATTGTGCTCGCGTAGTGTACAGTTGGTATCATCAAAGTCGTGAATCCTCTCCAACGGCGCTCCACCCTTTATCCGTCGGTTTCAAATCTTCGTCCGCCATGATTTGCTTCCCCCCTTTTTATCCTTTCCGGTTCTATATTTTTAGGTGTGGTAGTCTGGCAGCTGCTGCGCGTCCTCGGTTCGTCCCATGCTGTGAGACCCTACACCCAAGACGCAGTAGAAGATGAGACGCCAAACGCCGATACAATGCGTACCTCTGCAGAGACCGAAAAGCGCAGCTGAGACGAAGCCCCCCAAATCGAAATCAACGCCATTCAAGCAATGCCGCCAACCCTCAAAGGGTAAAGACGACACGTGGTTAAAACACGTCCTCCGTGTCCATCTTGCCGGCCGTCTGCCCTGGCGCGCCGGCCTCCCTGGCGATGACGGTGGGCACGGCGCGGTCGGACTTGTCGTCGGCGACAAAGACGCCGAGGCCGGAAAAGGCTTCGAAGAGGGCGCGCGAGATGTACTCGTCGGCGCCGTAGCCACCGACCAGGTACTCATCCTTGGAGCGGATGGCGTCGATCCACTCGCTGTGGTAGTCGCGCAGGCAGTCGGGCCCCAGGTCGACGCGGCGCGGAGCGAGGTCGAGCCCGCCAAAGGGGTCGTAGGGCCCGTCGTCGACAATGGGCTTGGTCTTGTCGCGCAGGCCGCGGATGGACAGGCCGCCGGGGCCGGCTCCGGCGTGGAGGGCGGCGTCGCGCTTCTGCTGGCCGCGCTTCTTGAGGAGGACGCGGTCGAGGGCCTCGCCGGCGCGGCCGACGTCTGCGTTTTGCAGCGAGTTGAGCATCTCCTCGCGGAAGCGGGCGGCGCTGGCCTTTTCGTCGGCCTCGTCCTGGAGATCCTGCAGGCGGCGGGAGCGGGCGGCGTCCTGCTCGGCGGCGAGGCGCTTCTGGCGCGACTCGTCCGACTCGCGGGCGAGCTTGCGGTTGCGCTCAATTTCGGCCTTGTGGCGGGCCTCCCACTCGGCCAGCTGGGCCTCTGCCTTTGCGCGCGCCTCGGCGGGCCCGTTGACGAGGTCGTCGGTCAGGCACTCGACCATGTAGAGGTAGTCGTTGTAGTCGTCGAGCGTCTCAAAGTCATCCTCGACCTTGTTGAAGACGTGCGCGACGCGGCGCCGAATGTCCACCTCGCGCTCGACGCCGAGGTCGCCGAAAAAGGCGGCCTTGAAGCCGCGTAGGCGCAGCGTCTTGTGGCAGCCGGCGTAGGGGCACTGGTTGGGCCCGTCCTTGAAGATGCGCTCGACGCACGTCTTGCACATGCGGTGGTAGCACTCCGGGTTGATGCGGAACTCCATGTCGCGGTTGAAGTAGCGCGTCGTCTTGCACACGGGGCACGTCTCGTCCTGGTCGCTCGACGGCGGCGGCGGGTTGCTGCTGCTGTTGGCCTCGGCCAGGGAGGACGAGGTTGCATGGCGCACCGAGACGGTGCCGCCCGGCCGGGACATGGCGCGGTCCGGCCACTCAATGGAACAGAGGTACAAGGGGCGATTGAGCGAGGAGAGAAGGGGGTGGAGAGACGAGGAGAGATCTTGAGCGTGAGCGATGTGGAGAGAGTGGACGAGGCAAGGTGACGTTTTGCTCGGCGAGAGCTCGCTCACCTTGCGCCTGCTTTGTCATCAGGCACTCCCGAGTCTGGATCCCCACGAAAAGCTGCCCCTCCATCGGCTTCCATCTTCAACGCTCTCTTGAACGCCGCTTCCAACCTCATCCCACCCAGAAGCTCTCAGCATGGCCGACAGCAACGTCAAAGGTACGCTCAACAATCCACATCTGCGCTTCTCCCGTCATCTCTTCTGACCGCTTCCCAGAGCCGACGCCCGCCGAAGAGGCTGCCGCCCGCGCCAAGGAGGCCGGGGAGCAGGCCGCGCTGCCCTACAAATGGAGTCAGACCATCGGCGACCTCGACCTCTCCTTTACCGTCCCCGGAAACCTCAAGTCGCGCGATCTCGTCGTCGACCTCAAGAAGCAGAGCATCGCGGCGGGCGTCAAGGGCCAGGACCCGGTCATCAAGGTGACCCTGCCCCTCTCTTCCAAGCCTTGTCCCTGCCGTATCCCGTGTCCAACGTACCGACGAAATCCTAACATCTCCCCTCCCAGGGCGACCTCCCCCACACCATCCACGTCGACGAATCCACATGGACCCTCTCCACCAACACCGACGGCACCAAGACGGTCGAGATTCACCTGGACAAGATCAACAAGATGGAGTGGTGGGCCCACGTTGTCACCAGCGCCCCCAGCATCGACGTTTCCAAGATCCAGCCCGAGTCGTCCAAACTTTCCGACCTCGACGGCGAGACCAGGGGCATGGTCGAGAAGATGATGTACGACCAGCGCCAGAAGGAGGCCGGCCAGCCCACCTCGGACGAGCAGAAGAAGATGGATATTCTCAAAAAGTTCCAGGAGCAGCACCCGGAAATGGACTTTAGCAAGGCAAAGGTCAGCTGAGCACTCGCTCTCTGTAAATGTGTGCGGATGAATGGTGGCGTCCTGGGTCGGAGTCTTCGTTTCAATAAAAGTCAGCTAAGTGAGGGTCATCTTGATTCGAGGGCCAACGCGGCTCGCTCCAGGAAGGCGTTAAACTCTGTAACTTGGCGCAGCATCCCGCCCGTCGAGCTCCCGGAGCTGGCCTCGTCCGCCACCCGGGCCAGCATCAGCTCGAGGTTGCCCAGGTCGACCTGCTTCTGCGCGTCGCGGGACAGCTCGGGTGCCTCCCGGCCCTGCTCGACGGCGACGTCAATGTCGTGCATGAGGGTCGATGTGTTGATGCGACGCTAGACAGCCATCATGTCAGAGCCCGTTCCGAAGCCAGTCTTCCGAGGGGTGCCTTGTCCTACTTACCGTCGACTCCTTGCTGTCGGCCTCGTGCTTGGTGCGCACCGCGTCCATTCGCAGCGCCACCTGCTCCCTCTCCCCCTTGAGGCGCAGAATCTCTCCCCGCAGCGCCAGCTTCTCCTTTTGCGCGTGCTGGACCTGCTTGCGCAGCGAGTGCCAGTGATTCAGATGTATCGCCTGCTCCATCATATCAGCCCTCACTAGTTCGCAAGCGGCGCGGGGGGGTTGTTCCCACGTACGTGCTGGAGCAGCCTCGAACCCAGCTCCTCCCTGTACGCCTCAATCGCCCGCATCTTGACGCGGCACTCCTTCTTCTTGGCGGCGCTGTCCGCCTCGTCGGCGAGCTGCCGAAACTGCGCCAGCGTGGCGGCCATGACCTCGTCGCACACCTGCGCAAGCACGTCGACGACGCTCTCACCGATGCGGTTGGCAAACGGAATCTCGGACTGTAGGGGGTCTAGACCGTCGTCGTCACCGTCTCCTCCCGCTTGCTTCTTGTTGTTGACGAACCGTTGGACGGTGATTTCGATGGCGTCGTCGTCGTCATCGTCATTGCCGCCGCTCTCTCGACGCTTCGTTGCTACCGTCTTGCTGGGTGCCGGGTTTCGCTTGCGCTGCTTCTTTTCCGGCGACGGGTCTTTGTGCGGCTTGGGCTTGGGCCTGGGCTTGAGCTTTTGCTTGGATCTCGACTTGGAGTCTGCAGTCGGCTGGCTTTGCGCGACAGAGCTCGTGGTACGGGGTCGCACACGCTTTTGCCTCGTCTTCGGCTCCGATTCCGGCTCCGGCTCTGGCTCCCCCTGTTCTGCCCCCACGGCCCCTGATCCAAGCTCCGGTGAGCTGGTGCGTATGCTCCGTCGTGGCCGCTTTCTTCCCAGCGCTTTGGCGGCTTCGGTCGCGTCAATCTCCTCCGCTTCTTCCGCCGAAGCCTCTGCCTCTTCTGGCTGTCCCTGCGTCTCGGGCTCGTCTTCGTCGATAGGCAGAGGGTCTGGCAGCTCTTCTTCGACTGTCGCGTCCCTCGGCCTGTCGTCCGACAGCAGCTCATCCTCTTCTCCGCTCATGGGCCGCCGAGACACAGCGCCAGCAGATCCCCGCGATCGCATGGAAGCCGCCGCGTCGCTCATTCTGGCCTTTCGCACCAGGGGAGACGACGACGGGGGGGCCGCATCGTCCGTGCTCACGGCATACTGTAGTCGCCTCGCGGTAGAGCTTGCACTTGCGCTCAGCTGCAGGTTCCGCCTCCGTCCGCTCCCGGGGGCGTGCGCCGGGCTTTCCTCGACCTCCTCAATCATGGCGCCGGACAGGCGTGAGCGCTCTGGAGATTGCATGCTTGCAGGCAGGGGCGCCACCGCCTCCAACTCGTCTGCGCCAAGGTCCGTCTGGGTGGCGGGGACTAGGCCAGGCCTGCTTGAGCTTCTTGTTGCTCGGCTCGATGAGCCATTTGTTCTGTCCGACTGTCGGCTCCTTGCGGTCGGAGGCCCTGATGATTCTTTGGATGCGCCGGCCGAGTCCGGGGGCGCTTTAGTCGCTGATCGTGTAGCTCGCCTATCTTGTGAGGCCTCGTGCTTCTGCTCATCGTTGCGTTTCCGTTTCCTAGCAGAGACGTTCGGCGTGCGGCTCGGAGAGCTCGAGGGCTTGGCCGGCGGCTGATCCAGGCCGTCGATGTTGAGGTTGAACGAGTCGTCTCCAACATTAGTGCGCCTACGCGGTCAGCATTCCAAACACAATAGCAAGAGCAGGATTGAAGCTCTCAACGTACTGCGCGCCTCGGAGGCGCTCATTCAGCCGCTCTGCGCGACGTTCCCGCCCAGCTGTTGACCGCGTCAGCTTTGATGAATTGCCGGCGCGTGGGGGATGCGACAACGCACCAGCGGCCATGCTTAAAGACGGGAGATGGTCTCTTCATGGACGAAACAGTTCGATAGAGCCACGCCTGAGCTCTTACAGGCTCGCGAGCGCGGTGTAGGCTCGTAACGGGGCGAGGCGGAGGCGGCGGCTGATGCGACGCGTGGTTTGGGAGACGCGTTGCGGCAAAGTTGGGCGGTGACGTCGCGGGGCAGTGGAGAAGCAAGCTGCCGTCGGCTCAACGAGACAGACCGAGGTGTACAAGTACAAAGTACAAATAATTTCAACTCGCACCTTAGTTCTAGGTAGTGCAGGTTTGCTCGACTATTCATCTTGGCTCTAGGAGTCATCATGGTGGTTTACGGGTTATTGTGATTGACAATCCATCTCTTGATCGGCACCCTGGCCTTCCTAAGCAATGCTTCGCCTTCCCCAATGCATCTACGTTTACAGTCTCCGTACGTACCGCTGCATCTACGGGTATCTTTAGTCTCCATGTCCGTTCATACGCCCAAAAGGTCATTCATCCGTCCGCCCAGCTTCTCGGTCTCTGTCATGTCCCCGGGGAAGCATATACGAGCAAACATCGAGGCGGCCTGCGTGTAACAGACGTGCCCCTTGCGCACCCTATGGTCCGAGGACCCATTGCATATTCCCCTGCTTGAAGACGTGCCTAGACAATGTTAAACCTCGATGAGAAAATCAAGAATCGCTCAAGACCTACCCCATGAACTTTTCGTTTGTCAGCGCCTCCTTGCCGTACTCGGACTCGAGCATCTCTTGGTACTTGAATGGGATCATGACGGGCACGCCTTCAAAGGTGGTGTTTCTCAGCGGAAACACGTACGTGTCCTAACAATACTCGAGTCAGTCGTTGTGTTGGAAGAGTAACGCACGCGGTCCGTCACTCACTCGATACTCGTGCCCATTCTTGTCGTAGAGCATCCCTTGCCCGGCCGGGTGGTCCAGATGGTACCTCGCGGCCGTGATGTCGATGAACAGGCCCGTGGCCATGTCGATCCAGCGGGCATCGATGAGGTTGAGCGTGTCGTCCGTCTCGCGATGCTTGAAGTGGGGATTCACATCGAGCAGAAAATAACGACCCCTCTCCATCCGACCGTACTGGTAGTAGTAGACGGTCATGTTGTGGTATGCGGCGAGGTAATACATGTCGGCCTCGGTGACTTGCACGTCGGCATCCAAGTCCCAAGGCATGACCTGCGCGAGAGGCGTCAGCAAGGGCCAAGGCGAGATGCGAAGCCCAGACTTGCCTTCTTTCCCCACCACCAGCCAAGCAGGCTCCCATGCATCAGCCATGTCTGAAGACCGAGACCCCGGCAGGTGTCAAGATACGTCTGGATCAGAGTCCGGATGACGTCGCGATGAGGCTCCTCCTCGAGGGGCTCAACCAGGAACCGAGCATCGTAATGCGCGTGGGCGCTTTACGGCGTAAGCTTGGGGGCGCACCCAGCAACGGGATGGGTCGTGGCACATACTTGGCTTCCTCTGGGGAGGGGAGAAGCAGTCAGTACGCAATAGCCATCAGACAGGGCTTTGGGAGACTTACTGAAATACTTGGGCTCTGGATACTGGTTCTCGTCGATGGGCACTGGATCTCTCCTCGAGAGTCGGTGGCCAGCCGCGGCAGGTGAGGCTGTCGCGAGCAGCAACAGCAGCGTTGCGCAAAGTCGGCTCTTCATTCCCGCTTTCGTTTGACCTGCTCGAGATAGAGCTGACGGAGGACAGGAGTCGGACGAGCGGCGCCGCTTTTATCGGAGTCAAGAATGGGCTCGTGCAGCGCGCCAAGGGGTTTGAAAGTTCATCGACAGGCTGTTGCGATGCGTCGCGTTTCAGCTTTCATGCGAATTTAGTCAGTCGGAAAATCGGCATGCCTCCCTCGACTGAATATCGTTGATCTGCAGCAACGATCTAGGTAGAGGCCGAGATGCCGGTTCAGGGACTTGGGCCTTTCGGGAATGGACGGGCTCCCTGTGCTGCGTACTGTACCTTGCCTGGACGGGCAGGCTTCCAGTGCACTACAGTACAGCAGTCCAGCCCCAGGCTCCCAGGCGCCATGACAGCCCTAGCAGCCCCAGGGGGGTTGCACAGGCGGGATGAAACCGGACTACCTACCTTGGGTTAGTGCAACGCGCAATGAAGCGGCAGAGCGGCAACAAGAGGGCCACTCTGTGGGCAACTTTGCGAAGTCCACCTTCAATAAGAAACAGCGGCTGAACTGTGCAATCGAGCGAGCTTCACAGGCGCCTTCCACTGCATCGGCAACGCCGCAATTTATGTACCTTACCGCCATCATGTCGTCCATCCCTCGTCATGCCTGTCCTCCCTATTCCTTTCGACCATCATCCATGCAGATACTTGGCCGAGGGTTCTCCCGTCGGCCCCTACTGTAAGCACAGACACGAGCGCTTCCTCTCTGGATCGACAACAAAGTGCTGTATTGCCAACTACAGACAGCAGCCGCGGCCAGCAAGGTTCAGCTTGATGTTGATTCATCGACTTCTAGGCTATGGTCTGGGCCGTCCCTATGAAGGCTAGTGTACAGCGCGGCTATTGAAAAAAGACTCGAGATGCGTCGCGAGATGCGTCGCGAGTAGCTCCCAACTCTCCGAGGCCCGGCTGATCGAGGACGCGGGTGTAGGTGCAAGGGTCTCGTTATGGATGCGCTCGGCGCACCTGGACTGGTTGTTGATGACAGCTCCTCGTCGTTCAAAAGCTCACAACCATCGACGTCTGGCGAATGGCGACTTGTTCAGAGGCTGACCAGGACTGCAAGGAGACAAGAAGAGGGCCCTTACCGCCATGAGGACGCAAGCTAGACTTATGTACGGACTCATCCGCTCGCCTATCCTCGCAAACTTCCAGAGGATGCCTAAAGGTCTGGCTGCCACGTTAGAAGGGCGTACCTCGTTTCGCGTAGCGGATACACGCACCCATCCTTGTTGGAGTCGAGTATTCTCGGGAATATCTGGTGAATGTATGCTGAAGTGCAGGTGAGGAGGAGGAGGACAAGCACGAGCGAATGGAGGTTGAAGAGGGCCGACTGGAGAGAATATACGGTTAGCACGCACGGCAAGGCGGCCGCGAGACATACCATGATGGAGTCGATGTCGGCGCGGATTCGAGCGCCTCTTTGGTCGTGCTGCGTTGTGTTGCGCTGCTTTGCGCTGGTCCCGTCCGTCGGCATGTGTGTCCTCGCCATCGTTTGGCTCTCGGCATTTGGCGGGGGGAGCTGGGCGGAGAAACAGCTCTTCCGCTCCGCCCCGGGCCGGCAATCCGCAGCGTCACAATCTTGGCTGCATCCGCTAGCCCTGCCGTCTCCACAGCGAATCCACCCCCAACGCCCTCCGGCTTGCGCAAGCTTGCTTCTCCCACTGCTCGCTGGCCTAACAATCCTCCACACCCCGTCCAAGCGCTTCCTTCTTGTCGCTGCATCAGCTTTGAGAGGCCGACATCGTCAGCAGTCTCCGTTGTTAATGGAACCGTCGTTGACATTCACCTCTTGACCCCCCCCTTTGGGACAACGACGACGATTGCGAGCAGCCACCGCTCCAGCTCCCACCATGACGGCATGGAACGTAGGTTGCCTGCCACGGCCGGCGGCAAATGACGCTGACGAGCACTTTATAGATCTTCCGCATCACGGGCGATCTGTCCCACGCCCTCTCCAAATGCATCCTCATCTTGGCCATCCACCGCAACCACAGCGCCGAGGGCGTGTCCTTCATCACTCAGGCCCTCTACGCCCTCGTCTTCTGTTCCCGCTATCTCGACATCTTTAGGGAACATTCGGTCTGGAACCTGCTCTTTAAGATATTCTACATCACCTCCTCCTTCTACATACTCGGAGTCATGCAGTGGCTTTATCCCCGCTCCCGCGAACGAGAGCTGTCCTGGAAGATGGGTGCCGCCGTCCTCGGAGCCTCACTCCTGCTTTCGCCCTTTATGATGATGATTTTCGAGAAGGTCTGGAGCTTTCGATCGGTAAGTTTTATCATTCGGGCCCCAGCGACAATCCGCCATGCTGACCCTGCAACAGTGGATGTGGGTATTTTCCGAGATCCTCGAGTCCGTCTGCGTCCTCCCTCAGCTGCTTCTCCTCCGGCAAACAACCGTCCCCACCGTCATCGATTCTTTCTACCTGCTGGCGCTAGGCTCCTACCGGGCCCTGTACTGCATCAACTGGTTCGTCCGCGAGTTTGACAACCGCAAGCCCGACACCGTGTCCGTCATCTTCGGTATCATCCAGACGGCTCTCTATATCGACTTTGCATGGGTATACTACACGCGCCAGAGGGTGAAGCTCCGTGGCGGCGGCATTGTCGATGCCGACGACATGCGTCGGGGATGGCTCCTGCGCCGCATCTTTGGCAAGAACGTCGACGTTGCCGACGATGAAGAGGGTGCCCCCGCGCTGGGTGGTCAGGGCGGTGACGGCAGACGCGAAGGCCGGCCCAAGTGGGGGGCCCGCGGCATTTCAGTCAGCGCTGATGAGGGAGTGCTCGATGCAGAAAGGAGGAACCGTGCGGACGCCGAGGATCTGGACGAGGGAGTCGACCCGGACGCCAAGATGCAGGATCCAGACGAACTGGCCAAGGCGCTGGATGACGACGACTTCCCCGTCGCTGAAGCCTCTTCGCCGTCGTCGCAGAACAACGGCCGAGGCGTGCCGCGGGGACTTGGGAACGGGAACGAGTGGCGCGAATAGTGGAGGGCAAAAGGGAATCGAGGGAGAGTGACTCTGTTGGCAAGTAGCACAAGACACGGCGCCACCCCCGGCCTGCATGCCACGGGTTGACAAGCGTGAGAGCGAGACCAAGGAGGGGAGGAAGAGCGCGACAGCGAAGCATTTTTTGGGAAGACGGGACTGATACGAGCCGGGCTACGTGGATGTGGGCAGTCTATGGTTCAATGGTAAAGGGCGGCAACCAGACCGCAACGCTTAATGCTACCTGGGCCGAGAAAACGTGGCAGCGTATGTACCCCGGTCGGCAGGTAAGCTGATACGTGATGTGGGTTCCGAATCTCTCCGAGATGCAGCTTAGTGTGCGGGTTCGTCCGCGAGGGTGTCGCAAACAGCGCCGAGGGTCAACACGTGGTGTACATTTGTGCGGTCGGCCAAGGTGTCTGTAGGTGTATATGTGTGTGCTATGTACAAGTGATTAACCGACGAATGATTTCCCTGCGAGGAGCCGAGACTTGCATCCCCATACCGAGGGTCTCCTCCTTTTTCCGGCGGCGGTGGTCCGAAGCTGGCCTCATGCCGAGACGAAAGCGGCGTCGGGCGGCACTCTATGCCGCAGGCAAATTCCAGCGCAGATGAAAAATAGACGGGCGCGCACAAACACACGATGGCGAGTCCGACAGAAGGAATAGAGCGAGGCAAAAGGCAATCAGCGAGTGAAGCGTGCCACGTCGTCGTCATGCGTACGTCAGCCAACGAAGCGCCTGGCGAACTCGTCGTAGAGCTTGGGGCTGATTTCGTCGCTGCTGAGGCCTTCGACCTCAAGCAGAACGCCCTTTTTGGCGTAGTGCTCGAGGAGGGGCTCGCTGGCCTGCATGAAGTTGCGGAAGCGGGCGCGGTAGATGTGCTCCGAGTCGTCGGGCCGCTGAACGAGGGGGTCGCCGGTGACGTCGTCGCGACCGGGGACGCGGGGCGCGTTGAAGGAGGTGTTGTAGACGCGGCCCGAGGGCTCGTGGACCCAGCGGCCGGCAATGCGGTCGAGGATGACGGAAAAGGGCGTCTTGATGGAAACGGCCAGGTTGATGGGGACGATGGCGTCAAGCGTCGTGGCCTGGGCGGCGTTGCGCGGATAGCCGTCGAGGATGAACGAGGCCGAGGGGTCGTCGGAGGCTTGGGGCGGCGAGGGCGGAGGGGGTTCGGCCGAGATCCACGGCTGCTGGGGCTGGAGGCGGCCGGTGTCCATGACGGAGAAGGAGGAGGGACTCTCGGAGGCCGTCGTCGCCTCGGAGGAGAGAGTCATGAGGTCCGGGGGGCCTTGGGCTCGGAGCCAGCCGCGGCTGCGGAGTTCGCTGGAGATGAGGCGCAGCATAAGGTCGTCGGCGACGAGGCCGCCCGTCTTGATCTTGTTCTCGGCCATGATGCCTTTGGGGGATGTCAGTGACTGGTTTCAATCGCGCATGGGGGTGAGCAGTACCCAGAGGCGTCCGGTTCTTGACATTGCTGCGCAAGAGGTCGCCGGTGCTGACGGACTGGAGCTGGGGGAAGCGCTTGAGCAGGCGCTCGCTCTGGGTGCCCTTTCCGACGCCCGGCGCGCCAACAAGAATGACGCGCGCGGCTCGTTTGAGTTGCATGTCTGTCCCAGGGGACCAAGGGGTAAAAGGGTTCTTGAGACGGCGGCGACGATGCCGCTGTGCGCCGAGCACGGGGAAGGACGCGCGGCGAGCAAGGAAGCAGTCTTGTTACGACGGACGCCCTCGGGTAAAACGAGAAAAAGCCGCCCAAACGAAAACGAAGGAAAAGAAGCAAAGGATATGAGGTAAAGTACTAAAAGGAGGTATGTATGGCAGAAAACAATACGGAAGAGAGGGTGGAGATGGTGAAGCTGGTGAGGAAGGTGAGGATGGCCCGAGGCGCGGTTGGCTGGTGCGACGACAGGGTTGAGAGCTGCATGCGATGAGACGGAAACTTGTTGAGCGGGGGTGCTGGAAAGAGTGGGGAATGCAGCGTTCGAGCAGCCGAGGACCCCGTTCTGGGGATTTTAGCCTGTAGGGCAGCGGCCTGTGATTGGCAAGGGGCGCCGATGACGCTCGACGTTATAGGGGTCCGGGGTGGGGTGTGCTAGGCCGATACTGAGGAGCCCTGGTCTGGGCTGATGGGCATTCAATTGGTCATCTCGAATGACGCATTCTTGCGCTCATCAGCGCCGCACCATGAACAGCCACAACTCGAAAAGGGACGGGGAAAACTTCAGCCATCGTTGGTCATCTACTTTACGGATAGAATAAAAGCCCAGCTCGCATCATCGTGACGCGTCCCCCGCCCTCCCCCATTTTCCTCGGCCTCGCAACAGTGCCAGCAAAGGGACAGTCGACGCTTGATTTTAAATCAACACCATCCAGGCATGCCCTTTTACAACCTCTGACAGTGCTTTATCTGCCAGTCTTGGCATCGCTCAACGTGGAGCCCGGATCTAGAGTTTCACACGGGCACTACGGAATTACCCAAGCTTGTGCTAGGAGGCCAACACCCAGCTGCTGCTTCAAGGCCCAGAACATCCGCCAGCGGGGCGGTCGTTCCTGAAATTGTGCGCCGGGCCCATGGTCACCGTATTGCCGATTATTCCCTTATTTCCAGAGTGTCGTGTGCGAAGGAGTCGCGGCAGAACACATTAGCCGCCGACCAAACTTTACCTCTCGGAAAGTACTTTGGCCGGGCAGAGGATTCCAGAAGGAGGGACCCAGAGTTTGTAGAGTTTCGACGTGGCGTTACTTTCATCAAGTCTTAGTCAGCCATCATCCGTCTTTGGCTGCCCAGATTCTGCCCATGCGTGATCCGGCATTCCCGAGCCACCAGACAGGCCAACAGAGCCGAGTCCCGACGAGCCATGCGCTCGAGCCTATCGTGCGATGCCTGCCGGTGCGTATTCGCAATACTATCTATATGCAGCGAAACGACGTTGACGAGCTCGCTGCAGACGGTCCAAAGTCAAGTGTGCTCATTCCGGCTCGCCGCCCTGCCAGAGATGCCAAAAATCCGCCATTGCCGGCTGTCTGCTCACCAGACCTAAGACAAGCCGTGGCGATGGCTTCATCCGCAGCAGAAGGACACTGTCCCGCCGCCCGCCGCAAAAGTCGGCCGATGGCCCGCGACAGCCTCGAGATGAAGCCCAGCAGCAGCCCCTGGCCCAAGAGTCGCCGCTCGCCTTTGACAAGGCCCGCGTCGATGCCCATTTGGCCAACCTGTCCAGCGGCGTCATTCTCAAGACCTTGAGCGTCTTCATCAACAGTTTTCCCGAGCTCGCCATTCTGCATCTGTCCACCTTCCTTGATGATTTTCGCTCCGCTCAGTCCCCCGAGACCAAGGCATTGCTCGGCGCCATCCTAGCCGTCACCAAGGCCCAGCTGACGGCTTCCTGGGCGCACCCTCTCCTGCCTCGAGAGCATTACGCCTGCTATGCCAAGGACATGCTGTCGGCCTTCATTCTTCAGCCACCAAAGATCCAGGTCGTTCAGACGCTCCTCGTCATTACCCTTCACGAGTGGGGATCTCGCGACTTCCACAAGGCTTGGATTTACTGCGGTGAGTGCCCATCCCCCCCCCCCGGCTGCACCTTGCATGTCTGAACCGCGTCCTTAGGAATTGCCATCCGCATCATGCAAGCCCTTCATAGTCTGCGCGTGGCCCCTTATCGCCTCGACTCCACTTCCGACCACCGCCACGACGCCGTCTCGCTCGCCATCGAGACGAGGACCTACTGGGCTTGCTTTATCATGGACTGCATGGTCAATTCGGGAACTTACAACCCGCCCATGCTGCCCATGTCGGAGATGCACAAGCTCAAGATTGCACGCCCGCTCGGCGTCGTCGATTTTGCCTTTGGGCCCGACGCACTGCCCCAGACCGTGGGCGCGGGCCATTGCCTCGCCGGCCAGACGTCCGAGGCGTTGGATTTCACGCAGAGCTTTGAGATTCTCGTGGGCGGTTTTGACATCTGGACCCAGGTCATGACCTTCATCTTCAACGACGGCCGCCGTGCCCCCGGCATGTGCGCTCCGCACAACTGCCCCTGGGTTCCCACGTCCCCCTGGTCACTGTCCATAAGTCAACTGGAGGCGTGGAGAGCTGGGCAGCATCGCAAGCTGCATTATCCGAGCAGCTCGGTTGCCATACATATGACGCTGGGATACGGCGAGACGTTTGTCTACCTTAACCTGCTATACTATGCCAGGTCTGTCCGTCACCAATCTGCACTCGTCCTGAGCACTGGTGACTGACTGCTACTGTACATGAAGCACGCTGATGCTTCACCGTGAATACTTTCCCTTCCTGCCGGCTCCGAATTCGGAGCCTGCAGGGCCGACTGACCGCTCGAGGCTCGAGGCTCCCGCCCCTCCAGGCTGGTGGGAAGAAAGCGCGCGGCAGCTGTTTGGCGCAGCAAAACACATAGCCAGGATACTTCACGAGGCGTCCGAATGCGGAGTTCATCTCATGACGCCCTATGCTGGTTTTTGTGCCTTCTCTGCTGCATACATCAACCTCTACGTCTTTCGGTATCCACGTATGAACTTCAATCGCAGCCCGGACGCAGAGACGTACTTGACAATGTGTCTGGACTACCTGCAAGAGTTTCGCCACGTATGGAGGATAGCCGATGGCTGGGTATTGCCCCCCCAGGTTTGTCTTTACTCGTTGCTAACATGGAAGGCAGACCAAAACCATACGCCAAGCCTCTCTCTTGTACGAGCGCGCCACCAAGGACAAGGCACGATATCGGGGCAGGACGCGAGACGACTTCGACACGCTCCATCGATCACTCCACGAATTCCGAGTCGTGGACAGGTCTGACGACCATCACCGAGAGCTGGACGGAGTAGAGAGTGCGGCCGTCTCTTGTTCTCAGGAAGGGATGGGAGAGACGACGGGGTCGACCAGCACCCAAGAGTGCCTCGTCGACACAAACAGTCTTCTCAGCCAGCTGTTGGCCGAGGTCAGCAGCAATCTCGACGAACAGGGCGCTTGGTCTCAGTGGTGGCCACCCGTGGAGCAGATCGAACCCCCGGCAACGGAATAATGTCCGTCTGTTCTGTTCTTTCTGAGGCAAGTGCATGATATATACCCAACTGTCTAAGTTCTATACATCCCGCTAGATTACCAGATCAAGGCTCCAAAAAGCATATAAGCAAGCAATTTCACTATTGTTTCAATCGCCATATTTCCCTTCAGCGCGTTTCCTTGGTCACATATCTCTGTCGTCTCGCCGTTTTAATTAGTGCTTCACACACGGATGAAAAGCTCCTTGGTGCGCCTCAGCCGGAGAGCAATCATGAAGAAGAGGCCAATCAGGGACATGGCCCCGGCGTAATATGCCGCTGGCCGATACTCGGTTGTATCGGCCTCGGTTCCTGCCAATGCGTACAGGCGCGAAGCTATGGGCGTGCCCTACAATTTCTCTCAGTCAAAGGTCTTTGATGGCAAGCTGACGGTCGGAACTTACAAAGAAATACCCGAAAAACCAACCAGCCCACAACATGGGCAGCACGCCCATTGCGTTTTGCCGCCCAAACACGGAACTGATGACGGTGGGAAACAGGCTGAAGAATGAGCCGCATCCGATGCCACTGATGACGGAGAACAGGGAGAGGATGCCCATGTTGGACGCAAAGGGCCAGATGGCCAGTGCGCTGACGCTGCAGAAGAGGATGGCGATGATCATGCTGTTGATGGGGCCGAGAAAGGAGTCTGCGGTGAAGCCAGCAAATATGCGGCCGACGGTTGACGAGATGTTCCAGATGGTCAGGGCAATGATGCCGGTGGAGCTGGACTGGCTGATGGACCGGGCAAAGACGGGGATGAAGTAGGGCGGGATGAAGAGCGGGAAGCAGGCTATGGCCGAACCGACAAACAAGAGGTGGAACTCGGGATCCTTCCATCGGTACCTGGAGCGTGGTCAGCGGGGGGCGCATCTTCCAAGGAGGTACGGAGGCGTGCTATTGCGCAGAGACAAGGGACAGGTCGAGCGTACCATTGGATGCGCGGAATCGAGTCTCTGGTCGAAGATGCCTGGCCGATGCAGCAGGCGGCTGGAAGACAGACGGCCCACAGCAGGAAGCCCAAGATGCGAAAGGTCCACGGAATGCCGACCTGGCGGACAAGCTGGTGGGTGGCGACGCCCATGACGGCAGCCCCGAGACTGCTGCCGCCAAAGACGACGCCAACGGCCAGGCCCTGGTGTTTGCGGAACCACTTGAGCGACGCGGTCGTGCACGGCTACGGCAAAGGCCCTGTCAGTAGGGAAAGAGGCGCGGGTTAGCTGGGGCGTACCAGGATGGTCAGGCCTCCGCCGACGCCAAAGAGGATGCCGTGCGTGACAACGAGGGCGCCGAGCCGGTCGACAACCCAGCTGGACAGAAACTCGCCCAAGCCGAGGAGAAAGGCGCCGGCAAAGGCTGTCTTGCCATAGCCATAGCGGCGGATAGCCTTGCCGACGAGGATGCTGATGGAGGCCAAGAAAGAAGTGGCAAGGGAGCCGACAAAGGTCAGCGACGTCAGGGACAGTGTCGTCTGCTGGGCAATCTCGGCCTGCAGGATGCCCCACGAGTAGATGACGCCCATGTAGCAGAAGACGGAGCACGAAGATGCGGCAACGACGACCCAGCCACGCCACCCGTCGACGGCGTCGTTGTCGTCGTCGTCCTTGGGTAGCGTGGCCGTGCCGCTCTCGTCTCCGGGCCCCGGGCGGACGGCGGGTGCCTCGACGTCCGACTTTTCGTTTTCGGCGGCGGCGGCCATGTCGGGGGGCGCGGGCTCAGCTTGTAGAGAGTGTTTTCTTCCGCCCTCGTTTCTGCGCTTTCTCTTCCTTTTACCTCACGGCCATATAACATGAGAGAAGGAAGGAAACCAAACTCTACATCGTTTTCAAATATCCGGCAAGGTTTCCACACGCGTAATCCTTTTAAAGGGAGAATTCGCTCGTGGAGCGTCCCTGTTCGGCTTTTATGGCTCATAGCCGAGCTATCCTTGCCTGTGCACATTTAGTTGACTAGAGAGCGCGCTCCGAGCTGCCTGAGCCCGGGCCGCGCGAATCACACGAGTCGCAGCTCGAAAGCTATCCACCGGCTCCGGCGCCAAGAACCGCGTTGCTGTGTAAGTGAAGTGGACCACCGGCTGTGTGGCTCGGGAAAGGTGTTGTGCGGTGGAGCCGAAGTTGAGATCCGGTGCTGAAGCAAACAATTTTGTCAAAGCGAGCTCGTTGTTAGATGGTTTTCGGGTGAGTTCTAGTTGCTGCTGCGGCTGGAGATGTGACTCTGAAATGTTCGGAAGGTGGTTGACATGCAGGCATTATGGCAGGCAATATCGCCGACGGTCGGTGCTCTCCCCCCGTCGGGTCTCGGCTTTGAGGGCGTGAGGTGTAAGTCGGGACTCGGGAACTCGACAAACAGCATGACCGGGCTTTGCCGCCGCCAGTCGGCGAACATGTTTCATGCTGTATAATCGCTGGATTTGCTTGTCGTTGGGTCTTGATTTGCCGTGAAGGCGTCGTAATCATGCGGTCGCTGGATTCATATATATCAATGCTCGGGGGCTCCTGCTTTTCTGACCGGCTGGAATCCAAACAGGTCAATGGCAAGATGGCACTCTTTGGTTGGACCATCGTGAAATGCCTACCGGCGCGGATTGCTTCTTGCACGTCTTCGTCTAATTACTGCACCCACAAGTCGGGAGCCGGGCGGAGCTCGCCTTGGCAGCAAACGTGGCTCAAAACAGCCAATGTCTCTTGTGAAGTCGGAATGGGCCATTGCTGGAAAAGAGCATGCCGTAGAGGAGCAAGCAGGCAACTTGCAGGGTTTGTAATAATGAAAACGCGGTATATTACGGAGGTACTTAGCGAAACATTAGTTGTTTAGTAAATATCACTGCGAGAGAAGTCGTCGCAGATCCCGCCAGTACACAGCTACACCGTAGATTCCTGAATCACAACCTCTCCAACTTTATAGTACGCTTAACAATGTGTACTGTATGCGCCTTCCGGCAGTCAAAAGGACGTATGGTGGGCGTTCCCTTTAGGCGTTACGGAGTTGGTGACGATGGGTATAGGGTAGGCAGGTGAGGGATAGGTATGTGGCCCCATCCCGGAACTCAACCTGCTTGGCTTATGCCCTCTTCTTGACCGGTGTTTTATTTAGCAGTGCTCTTTTTGTGTACGTTTTGTCTATCCTTGAGCTGCCTTCTGGCATAATGAGTGGCGCATAGAATCCAACGGAATGTGTCCGCTGAGGCTTCTTTTGCCTTTTCCATGTGACATAAGCTGATCCATTTGCATTGATCACGTGCCGTTGATGATCAGGCATAATCTTATCTCGAGGACTATACAGTGCATATTACAGTATAGCACTGTACAACCACGCCGGCCTTCCCGCGTTGGCCGTCAGGTACGTACATACCGCCCAACGGCCACTCCGTCACTCACGATGCATTACATCAGCACATACCACCAATCACAGCACAGGATATCCGCCCACTGGATTCTCCGTCCCTCGGCCAGCGCACGGCGGATTCTCCCCGTATCTTTGCCGTATTTGTAAGGTCGTTTTGCAGTCCAAAGTACAAGTACCACTGTTGGGATGCAGGGACTTTCCATGCGCCAGTATCTCCCTCTCGCAACAGCTCCCTCTTCTTCTTCCCTCTCCGTTTCCCTCTTCCAGCAACGACCATCCGACCTCAGCGCTCCCATGCCATCGTAACCGACCTTGCCGCTCCCTTACGACAACCCCGCCTATTGCACCTCACGGCCGCCGCCATGAGTGCCTCGTCTGCGGTCGCCCGCAGGGCGGCAGCTCGCAACCCGCTGCTGCTAGGAAACGGTATGCCGCCTGGGAGCCCCTTGGGCGCTTGAACGCGCCGTTGACTTGGACCTATAGCCAGAAACCTCCCCCGAGGCATCTCGCCCGCCTTGATGGCCCGACATGTCGCAAGGCAAGCCCAAATCCCGGCCCTCGCCCTCCTCATCCCCGCCCGCCACATGGGCACCGAGCATCACCGGTCCGATGCGCACAACTCGGGACCGCCTCCCGGCTTCAACGTGCAAGAGGCTAAGAAGCCGCTGTCCAAGGAGGACGCAGCCGCGGCCAAGAAGGATGGCGCCGACGCCGGCGGCAAGGCGGCGCCGCCCAAGCAGCCCCAGGACATGACCAAAACCGAGGCCGCCATTACCGAGCTGGCCGCGAAAAAGGGCGACGCCGCCGAGAGACACGAGTTGGCAAAGGCCGAAAAGGAGGACAAGAAGCTCACGGTGTGGCAAAAGGTCAAGAAGGAGGCGCGGCATTACTGGGACGGCAGCAAGCTACTCGCCGCAGAGATCCGCATCAGCTGGAGACTGGCGCTCAAAATGGCGGCCGGCTACGACTTGACGCGCAGGGAGAATAAGCAGCTGCAGAGGACCGTCAGGGATCTCGGCCGCCTCGTCCCCTTCTCCGTCTTCATTATCGTGCCCCTGGGCGAGGCGCTGCTCCCCCTGGCCCTTAAGCTCTTCCCCAACATGCTCCCCAGCACCTTTGAGGGCCAAAAGTCAAAGGACGCAAAGGCCAGCCTGCTGCGGTCAACGCGCAATGAGGTCAGCGACTTTCTGCAGCAGACGCTCAAGGAGACGGGCCTGCCTCTGAGCCCGGCGACGGCGCAAAAGGAGGAGTTTGGCAACTTTTTCCGCAAGGTGCGGTCGACGGGCGAGGCGCCGACAAAGGACGACGTCATCAAGGTGTGCAAGATCTTCCGCGACGACATGACGCTCGACAACCTGTCGCGGCCGCAGCTCGTGTCCATGTGCCGGTACATGAACCTTAATACGTTTGGGACCGACATGATGCTCCGCTATCAGATTCGCCACCGCATGAGGCAGATCAAACGCGACGACAAGGCCATTAGCTTCGAGGGCATCGACAGCCTGACGGTGGCGGAGCTGCAGACGGCGTGCGCGGCTCGCGGTATCCGCACCCACAGCGTGTCGCCGGCGCAGATGCGGACGGACCTGCAGACGTGGCTCGACCTCCGCCTCAAAGAGGGCGTGCCATCGACGCTGCTGGTGCTCAGCAACGCCTACATGTACGGGCAGGGGTCGGGCGAGGGGTCAAGCCAGGTTGACGCGCTCATCGGGGTCATGTCATCGATCCCCGAGGAACTCTTCCACGAGATCGAGCTCGAGGTGCACAACGCCGAGGGCGCGGCGACCAACAAGCAGCGGCTCGAGGTGCTCAAGGAGCAGCAGGAGCTGATTGAGGAGGAGAATGAGCAGAACGAGGAGAGCCAGAGCACGGGCATGGCGACGCCGCGCGATGTGGACGACATTGACGAAAAGGAGGAGCGGCAGCTGTCGGCCGAGGCGGCGGGCGTGGAGAAGTCGGCGGCGGGTGAAATGGTGGACGCGGAGCGTGACATGGCCAAGGCCGAGGAGGTGGAGGGCAAGGCGGCCGAGGGCGTCAAGGCCAAGAAGGACTAGGGATGAGCAGGAGAGGGAGTGGACGGCGCTGCAGGAACATACAACGGCGCCGGAAACTCGCCACTGCTCTGGCCAGTCACTGTCACGACACTCACTCTTTTCTTTTTTTTCTCTTTGTTTGATACATCTCTCTCCAAAACTCGGACGGATGCTTCCCTTGTCATCTGTACGACTGGAAGTTGCGCAGGAGGCACACCAGGAAATGGGCATTGGCTGCATCCATGAGAAAAGGGCGGCGGGCATAGATGAAGACGGGCGTGTCGACACTGGAATAGCACAATAGACGGCGCGGATGGAGCCCATGGCTGAGTCTCTGGCGCCCTGACTTGACAAGCTGATGAATGAAGGCGTTGTGTGATGGCTTGCCTGTCAGACGAGGCATGTTGGTGATGGTGGTGGCTGCACGTGGTGCTTTGTATAGAGTACATGTCTCGAGAGCCAAAGAGCGATTTTCAGGGGCCTCGCGGCGTCGAGAAGCTGCAGGCTCTCGTACTCGGTACTTGCTGCTGCAAGCCACTCCCAAGCCTGCTTAACTTGGCAGCTTCGTCCCCCATGTCATCAATCAGCCGCATCGAGCAGCAGCTGCCCCCACATTATATTTATAGGCTCACGCCTCCTCCCTCCCCCAACCTCTGTCCCTCTCGCATCGCCTCTCCCCGTGACGCCGCCGCCTTGCGCTCTCCCCCAACTCCCCCACGACATTATACAGACGAGGGCACGCCAGAGCAAAGCAAGAGGGACACTATCAACCATGGCCGTCGCAGACCAGGACAAGTTTTCAAACGTCTCGTGGAGCGAGCATGTCCACGACCAAACAAGCCGCCCCGTCCCGCCCGCCGAGGAGCCCGGACATACCATGGACACGGGACACGCGCCCGAGCCGCTGGGCGGCGAGAGGCTGCAGTGTGCCGTCGGCTCGCCGCTCAAGGAGAACGACGGCAGCAAGGACGCCTTTGTCTCCTATCTCATCACCACCAACGCATGCCGCCCTCGTCTTCCCCCCTCGCTCGCTCGCGGCTGACCAGTGTCCACAGTCCACTTTCCCGTCCTTCCAGAAGCAGACGACGTCGGTCCGCCGGCGCTTCACAGACTTCGTCTTTCTCTACAAGCAGCTCATGCGCGACTATCCCGCCGCCGCCGTCCCGCCGCTCCCCGACAAGCAGCGCATGGAATATGTCCGCGGCGACCGCTTCGGCTCCGACTTCACCTCGCGCCGCGCCCACTCCCTGCAGCGTTTCCTCACCCGCCTGTCCCTGCACCCGACGCTGCGCCGCGCCCCCATCCTGCACACCTTCCTCGAGAGCCACGACTGGAATGCCACGATGCGCACCCGCAGCACCCGCACAAGCCTCGGCGCCGAGCAGGCCGGCACCGGCGGCGTCTTTGACAACTTTGCAGACACCTTCATCAACGCCTTCACAAAAGTCCACAAGCCCGACCGCCGCTTCATCGAGGTCAAGGACAAGGGCGACAAGCTCGACGAAGACCTCGGCCACATCGAAAAGGTGGTGGCCCGCGTCGTCCGCCGCGAGGCCGACCTCGAGACGGACCTCAAAGACCTGGCCGAGCAGTTCCAGAAGCTCATCACCCTCGAGCCCGGCGTCGAGGCCGCCGTTCACGCCTTTGCCGCCTCCATCGAGGACACGGCCGCCCACCTGCGCCAGCTCCGCGATGTCACCGATCAGGACTACCTCGGCTCCCTGCGCGACATGCAGGCCTACTCCATCTCCCTCAAGAACCTGCTGCGCGCCCGCGAGCAGAAGCAGCTCGATTTTGAGCAGCTGACCGAGTACCTCAACAAGTCGACGGCCGAGCGCGACACCCTGCAGGCCGGCCACTCGGCCTCGGGCGCCGGCGGCTTCATCCGCGCAAAGTTTGAGGATGTGCGCGGCGTCGACCACGAGCAGGCCCGCCGCGAGCGCACCCGCAAGCTCGAGCTGCGCGTCGAGGAGCTCACCACCGAGGTGGAGCACGCCCGCAACACGAGCGACATGTTTGACGACGAGGTGGTCAACGAGGTGGCCGACTTTGAGCGCATCAAGCGCGCCGAGTTCAAGGCCCAGCTCGGCGGCTTCGCCGACGCCCACGTCGCTTTTTACGGCGGCGTCGTCGACATTTGGGAGCGCTACGTGCAGGAGATGGGCAGGGAGGGGGCCGCCGGCGGCATCGCGGCGGCATCATGAGCCGTCGGGGGGTGGCCCTTTGTGGGTGGCGTACAGGAAAAGTACACAGGCTTCACCTACGGCGCTCGGATAGGGAGTTTTCTGGTCGGGTTGGGATGCAGCGTCGCAGGTCAATGGCTCAAGGTGCATCAAGCGCATACAGGGGGGGTCAAATCGCAAGACTTGGACACGGCGTGGCGGGGAGACGGGCAGGGCCGAAAAGGAGCGGCACAGCACGCGCGGACGGGTCGGGGGGAGGTTGGCTGTGGCGCACGCGCGTCGCCAGGGGCGTGGCTGGTGCAGGGTGCGCTGCTGATTGGGAAACGCCTCGGAGAGGAGAAATCTGGCCTTTTTGATCGCCGTCATGTCACGGCTTGCTGGAGCGAGATCCCACCTCTCCCTCGCGGGAGTGGGGAAAGCGGAGGCCGAGGGGTGAAATGGCGGCTTCCTCCCGAGCCACCCGGTCCACGTCTTCTCGTCCGCCATGTGTGAGCCGGGGCACCGACCAAGATCGAGCGCCGCGTCCCCTGGCGAGACGGAGAGGGGGGGGCATTCCGTGCTGTGCGGGAGAGGGCAAACCGGGGACAAGGCGGGAAAGTGACGGAACCTGCCTGGTCTTGGACGGAGAAGACGCATCTCATGCACGGAGGAGGGGAGTGGTGAGAGGAGGATCCCGATGCAGGAGGACAGACTAAACGCCCCTTGATTCCATGCAACTTTGGTTCCCATGTGCGATGCGGCCAGCAACAAGTACATAGCCAGCAGAAAGCAGCAGCAGCAGCGTGAGTGCATACCCAAAAGATGATGACGCCTCAGCCTTGTTGCTCCCCCCTCCTGCCCACCCGCCCTTGTGCCTCACGTCGTTCCTCCATTACACGACCAGCCCCCCTACCCCCCCCGGCGCGCCTCTTCACCCCCTGCGGCCCCTGACGCCCAAGAGGCTCGCGTCGTCGCCTGCGCCGCCGCCGCCTCTACCCTCGCCGCCGCCGTCTGCGCCGCCGTCGTCGTCGCTCTCCTCGCCCACCACGTACTGTTCCGCCTCGTCCTCGCCCACCAATCTCTCGGCCGACTGGTCCTTGTACGCGCCTAGCCCCGCGTCGCCATGGCCCTCGTCGCCGTCGTCATCGTCGCTGCCTCCGGCAAAGGCGTCGTATAGCTCGCCGCCCCGCGTCCGCCGGCCGCGCCGGCCGCCTAGACCGTCCTTTTCGCCGCCGTCGAGGGCCTCGAGCTCCTCCTCGTCGATGAGCTCGAATTCGTAGTTGTCGCGCGCCTGGTTGCGCAGGCGCCGGCGCCGGGCCACCCAGAGGTACGCGCCCAGTCCCACGCAGAAGACGATAATGAGGCACAGCGCCCCGTAGAGCCACACCGGGCCCGGCTTGGTAAATATGGGCGGCGTCACGCCCGGTGTGCTCGTGGCCGTGGGCGTCGGCTTGGCGCCAGGTTTCGTGGGACGCTCGGGGTGGTCCGTGGGGATAGCGATTGATGTCGGCTCTTCAGGCAGCGGAATCACCGTCGACGTCGCCACAGGGCCCGTGATGGTCGATTGGATTCTGTCGTGATCGTCGTCATCGGTCGCATTGGGCATGGGTAGGGGGTACGCCTTGGCGGCGTCGATAGCCTCGCCCCACAGCTTGAGATGCCAATCGACCAGCATTCCCTGGTGCTCATTCTGCTTGGTGTCGTGAACGACCAGGCTCCAGTTGCCAATGCCGGATTCGCCCCTGGATTTGCATCAGCCGCCCGTCCCGTGTCCTGCACTGGACCCTTGGCACTTACCAGTGAACGACGGTCATAAAGGTCCAGTCGTCGTAGCCGCCCCTGTGGTTGTCGTGCGCCCGTGCCGTCGCAATATGGCTGACGACGTTCTCCGGGCTGATCAAGTCTACGCTCACGTCGCCGCGGCGAGTGTGATTCAAGTTCATCGTGACGGTGACGTGCTCGAGGCGCGCTAGGTTTGCCGACCTGATGGCGTCGGCGGTGACTTCGAAGTGGGTGACGAGCCCGTGCTCGCCTTCGGGGATGGCCGTCCCGACGTGCACCCACGGCGAGAAGAGCCAGGCTTGTGGCATTACTTTTTTCCACGTCTTGGCCTTTTCGACAAGGGCGTAGCTGTCAATCTTGCCGTAGCCAAAGTAGTGGCTGTACTGCTTCCCGATGGCCGTCTTCTTCCAGCTCTCCTGCTTGTCTTGAACAGGGATGGCGGTATCCATGGCTAGGTACTGCATGTCTCTCCAGGTCAAGTCGGGCCGGACCTGCATGACGAGGGCGAAGATGCCGGCAGCGAGGGGGGCGGCTGCCGAGGTGCCGCCGTGAGTCGAGGTGCACCGATTGACGCCAACGTCGGTCGTATGCTGTCGAAGTGTCAGACATGGCTTCTCTTCGGGGCACCAGGGGAAGCACCTACAATGGAATCGCCGCCGCCGCTGCTGTAGGTGACGACGAGCTGCGCCGAGCAAAGCTCCGAGTAGTAGGGATGGTGGCCGGCGCGGTCCACAGCTCCGACGGTGATGCTGTAGATGGAGTTTGTGTAGCCGTCAAAGTTGCAGTTGTCGCCGCTCGCCGCGCCGTTGCCGCTGGCAAATACGTAAATGGAGCCGAGGCCGCCTCGGCCCTCTTGGATGCCCTTGAGAATGGCCCTCTGAATGAGGATGCCGGGAGCTTCCATGGACCTGCCGTCGTCTCGGGGCCCCCAGGAGCACGAGTAGATTTGGTTCTCCTGGTTCCCAAAGACCATGGCGTCGGCCTCGTCGGCGTCGCTGATGGGCTTGCTGAGGATTCGGATGCCGGCGACGCGGGCGTTGTAGGCGGCGCCGATGCCGCAGACGTCGTTCCGGACGGCAGCGACCTCGCCAGCGCAGCGGGTGCCGTGCCTGTCGTCTGACAGCTTTGGCTCGGGGACGGCTTGGTTGTCGTTGAAGTCCCAGGAGCCCTCGGCAAAGTAGTTTTGCTTCAGATCGTCACTGTGCATGTCGATGCCATCGTCGATGATTGCGACGGTGGCATTGAAGCCAGTGGTGCCCTCGAGCCAAAGGCCGGTGACGTTGATATCGTGGCCGGGCTGGAGGGTGTTGATGAGGTGCCACTGCTCCTTGAATATGGGATCCCTGATGTTGAGCTTGTCCATGAGCAGATTCTGCCTCTCGACAGTGGCAGCATCGGCCGAGGGACTAGATGCGCGGAGGTCGAGGGCTGAGTCGGGGGGAGGGGGAATGAAGCGCTTCTCGAGACGCATGCGCGGCACCTGCTTCCTGGCCAGCAAGACGCCGTCGAGGACATCGGGGCCGGCCAAGTCTCGTTTCCTGCGCCTGTGCTCCTGAAGCTCCCGTTTTAGCACGTCGTGGTGTGTCTTGCGGGCACGCAAGAGGAAGTGGTCGCTGAGACTCGGGAGCGGGCCATCGTTTTGCATGCCGAAGCGGTCTGCGACTTGGTCGGGGGAGACGGATTGAGCCAGGTGAACGACGTAGTAGTCATACCTGTCATAGAGTCGCCGGCTGGGGCGGGGGGGCGAGCGACGAGCGGGTGATGCAGGGTCCATGGCAGGTGGTCGTTCAACGCATGGACATGTGGCCGTGGGCGTGGCAGCGATGGATGCCCTAGGACCCGGGGTCGGAGGATCAACGTGTCGTTGTGGCCGTTTGGTCCAATTGCGCAGCGTTTCGGGAGACGAGCCAAGAGACGGGACGGGCCGGGGAGGAGACAAGAGAAGAGAAGAGAAGAGAGTGCCGGCAACAAGGGCTGGCTCGGCTGATGGCTGTCGGATGGGCGAGGATGGTGGTGACGGACGGTTTGGGGTGTCGTGGCCGTTACTTGATTGCCGTCCGGGGCAGCGACAGACAGACGAGAGCCACCCCTTGCCAGGGGCCACTTTCTGCCCGGTGCAAGTACCGGTACTTTGATTCTCGGGGAGTATTTCCAGTGGGCCCCAATAAATGTCGGCCCCAATTGTGGATTCGCCCTGCCCCTTGATCAGCCTCGGCTCCTGTACTCCGTACTCCGTACTGTACTGTACCCGGACTCTCCCCCCTGTTTCGGTACCTGATTTCCCGATGAAGAGGCCCTTGGCCGGGCAAGCAACAAGTCTTGCTGTACGGTAAGCTGACGGCTTGAAAAGACTGCAAAATGTCTGACCTGACAGGTAGTAGGTAGGTAAGTAGAGTGACCACACAACCGCCAGGGAGGGTCTCGGTGCTCTAAAAAGAAGCCCCGGGCGCCATCCACCCACCTGAACCACTTGGGGCGCCAGCCACAGATATCCAGTACTCACACCTCGCCGAGATATGCCAAATAGTCACGGTACCCTCTACCGCCCTGCTGCTACCACCTGCACGTCTGCTTAGGTGCGGCTGTTAGTGTATTCCCCCCAAGTGAGCGGGACGAGTGGCTTGCCCTCCAGGAGTCAAGGTACCTAGGTAGTACCTACCTTAGTAGCCTTGGGCACTTGACGACTTCAGGTTGTACCTAAGTAGATACCTAGTACTCGAGGCATAGGGGCAATTGAGTCGGAACAACGTAGGGTAGGTAGACATCAGGAACAATAACACGGTGCACCTAACAATTAGGTGCACGCCGGTGCAACGGTGGTTCTGACGCAACCCCCTTTCCATCGACCATCCGTAGCCCTCCGGCACCTGCCCTCAGGCATGGCTCTCCTCTTCCATTCATGGTCCTGACCTCTAACCTACCGGCTGTCAAGTCATTCTTCGACTCTACTTGTGCTTTGGTCCCAGGCCATCGCCAAGTCACCCGATGATGACTGTTCCAGCGTGAACAAGCAGCTTGCAGCCGTGGACAAGATTAATGCTCTCACGTCTACGGCTTTGACAACACCGAGTTCAGCCACCCACCCCAAATCACCAAGTCTGTCTGGCCGTCTTGATGGCCATGCCTCAGGTTCTTGCGAATCGAAAAGATGAAAACAGTACAGACTCTAGATGCCTTTGGACTCCAAGGAAGAAACTCCCGCAAACTCCATGGCTACCTTGCTCCTTCACAGCGACTCTTCCTTGTGAATCTCGATGCCCGGCGGGGCTCCCGTGAGTTCCTTGCAGCGCGCATAGATGACAAACTGGCCCGACACCAGGGCACACGTCATGACCAGACGCGGGCCCAGGCCGGACAGGAGCAGACGGCGGGGGCCAAATTCGCGGGCGAGCTGGAACATGCGGCTGGTGGCGCCCTGCTTGCTGTCGCCGGCGCCCTTGTTGATGGCCGACAGCAGCGTGTCGGCCGGGTGGGAGAGCACGGCGGCGGCGGCACCGGCGGCGAGGCCCGACGTCAGCTCAACGGCTGTCGACTCGAGCGACGTGAGGCGGGCCTTGCGCTCGGGCCCCATGGCGCGGTAGATGACCTCGTTGGCGGCCTCGTGGACCGAGAACTGGCCGACGGCAAAGGGCACCTGCTTGAAGAGCAGAGGGACGAAGCCCGAGTAGAATCCGCGCAAGCCCTCCTCTCGGGCCATGCGCATAAAGCCGGTGCTGAGGCCCGAGGCGTAGCCACGCTGCGAGACGAGGCGGATGCGCGTCGCCTCGAGCGGGCACAGCAGGATGTCGGCAAAGAACTCGGCCGTGGCACTGGCCGACAGGTAGACGGCGGTGCGCTTGTTGACGGCCTCGGCGGGGCCGCCAAGCATGGAGATGTACTTTTTCTTGAAGAACTCGTAGCCGGCGAACTTGCTCCCGCCCTGGACAAGGTAACCAACAGCTGTTGGGCCAAAACCGGTAAGCAGGGCCGAGGCACCTTCCTTGGCGACGATGGCGCGGCCGGCGCGGAGCATGTTGAGCCCCTTCATCGAGTCGTCGACCTGGATGCGCGTCTTGACGACGTCGATGGGCGTCGCGGCCTGTCAGAAGGGTCAGGTCAGTCCTCTTGTCCGTTTCCAGCCCGACCTTTGCCCTCTCCTCTAGCAGTACCACTTACCCCATGGGTGGACGTGGCGGCCAGGGCACCGGCGGCGAAGAACTTGGCATAGTCGCCGAGGGAAAAGGCCGGCAGCTCGTCTTTCTTGGGAGCCATGTCGGAGGGGGACGCGATGCTCGGCGTGGAAGCGGCAACAGAGGCTCAGAGGGAGCCCAATGGCCAGGGAGAGAGACGGAGAGAGTATATCTAGGAAGCTTGCGATGCCGCGTCGGCCGGTGGCTGGCAGAGGATTTTGTCGCATCCGGGGAGGATGACGTCGTTTCCGCAACTCCCGGGCCACCGGACCGTACTGTCCGCGGCGGCCTGCATGACACAGCAGGTCTCCATCGGCGGTAACTTAATAATACCCATCTGTCTAGGTAGGTGCGGTGCATAGGTAGGTACGGTACTAGCACGCGGCTGACGGATGCGTGGCATGATTTTGGTTCCCGATTGCAAGCATCCCGCGCTTGGCTGCAACGGCCGAGGTCGTTTCTCGAGCACCCGCTGGACTAGGAAGACCAAAAATAACATTAATGGGCAGCGGCAAGGGTCGAGCCTGCAGCCTCCTGATAAGATCATGTCACTGCTCAGATAAGTCTTCAGCGCACTCGTGATTACTATTCAGGCCTTGATCACTTACATGACGAGGAAACCAGCGACAGTCCCCGAACGTGATGAGTGGGCCGGTGCTCTGCCCGCCCTGTAGCCTGTAGGTCCCTGAACGCTCCCGAGATGAAGCCTGAGTAATACCTACCTACCTAAGGTAGGTGGTAGGTAGGTAGGTAGGTACGCTAGGTACCTACCCAAGGTAGATATGTACAAGCAACAAGGTAATTATTTCGTATCCCGCTGGGCAAACAACCTAGGTAGGCACCTAGATGATGGCGACATGGACGGGAAAGAGCAACGCGACTGACCGCTCACCAACTCCTTCCATGTCAAGCCCATCACGACAAAGGTCGATTATTACCTGCTCACCTCTCTCCGTCAGTCCACCGCCACCTCGCGCGTTGTATCCCTCCTCTGCGAGGCGCCCCGTCCCAGCTTCTGCACGCAATCGCAATCACAATCGGCCCCCAGCCCAGCCAGCCAACAGAACCGAGCCGTCGGTTCCCCCAAGCATGCGCAGGCACGCTCTTTGTGCGTTGTTTGTCGGCCATTGGGCCAATTCGGGGCATCGCGGCATCGTGCTTACGTCCAAACTCGACGCCCTGAGGAAACAGAGTCGACGCTCTTCGACCAGCGTCGTCCGTCATTCGTCGTCCAGGCGCCTGCCCGGTCCAGCTCCTTCAGCCAGAGATGACAGATCCCACGACCTCGCACCATCCGAACTCCTGCGGCCGAGCTGTCTCCTGCATCTCTAGCTCGCATACCACCCCGGCAGCCTTCGTTTCGCCTGTTGGCTCCAGCCCGGCACTCGAGACGTCCTCAATTTCCACCCTCCCCCCGTTGCTTTTTGCTCTCTGCCCTCCCAGCCGTCGACCTGGCCGCTCCAAGTAGGCTTGGGGACAAGAGAAGATGGCTTTGCTCGGCGCAAGCAAAGTTCCCGTCTCTCGACCGACACACCAACCATCCATCCTTCGGGCCAACAGCGAGCGTCTCTTCCTGCCGCTCCGTGGCACGCAACTGTTCTGGAACTGCCCACTCGCCTGCAAGAAGCTCCCCCTTTCCCGCACAGTACTTGGTACCCTAACGTCCATTCCGTCGTTGTGGGAGAGAACGGCCCCCGTGGCAAGAGGGCAAATCTCTCGCTTCTCTGTCCCGGCTCTCAGGGCTGGGTGGAATACGACAACCTCGACTAACAGCGCCGCCCATGACTTTGTTGGCGGAGCTCGGCAGACCAGCGGCCTGTATCCGTAGGGCTGACCGAGACGGATGAAGAAGCGAACCCGCGTTGAGACCACGCTCATCAGCATCAGTGCTTGTCGTGATGCAACACCCGTCCGCGATCAGTCTCGACCCACGACTTGTTCCATCCACAAGCGCCGACAAGGATGCATCAAAGCCAAGCCGTCGAGTCATCTCTGCAACAAAAAGCCTCGCGGGCCATTCTCCCGAAGAGGAAGTTGACCCTCTAGAACTTCAAGCACTCTCTTGTCACCTCGCACCCACCCTCCCAGCTGCGGGTGCTTGGCTTGGCCCTTGCCTGGCCCGACAGTCGTCGGCTGACTCCGCGTCTCCTTGCCCCTGGCCGCTGTGCTCTTGTGGCTGCGAGCGTCTGACCCAGCGAGGCGGTTCGGCCCCACTCACGCCCTCGCCCCGGACCCGTCCGCTCGGGCACCAGCATCCTCCCCCCCTGTCACGGGAAGGCGTCGGCGCTAGCAAGCCCATCCCCCATGCCGACTGTCCCCTCAGCATGTCCTTGCGTACGGCAAGACTTGGCTTGGTCATCAAAGCTTGTTGCCCGTTACACAGGGCCTGCTGTCAAGCACGCATCATGGTCGTAGGTTGTACCGGGTCTCCTGCGGCCACTTCGTTCTGTAGTAACGAGGAAAGAGGAGAGAAGACAAGGGCCGGGCTCCGGACAAGCTCTGACGGCCGGTGGGACCGCTGCCTCGCAGGGGAAATCGACTGGCGCGCCACCCAGTCCCAGACACCCGGGTCCCATCGAGCCCTTGCTCGCTGCCACATCTTGTACTTTGCCTGCAGCTCGATAATCCTGGCCGGGCCAGCAGCCGTCCGTACGGAGCGGCCACCTCCCCCACACCATTCTCTTCTTCGTTCCATGCCTCTTTAAAAGCCGGTCGTCAGGCCATTCCACCGCCCATCCTGTCCCATGGACATCCGTCCTCTTTCTGGCACAACCCGCACTCTCCCGCAAGCACCAGCCACTATGCCCTCCATGGATTTGCTTCGAGGCATCGAACCCACCCGACCAACACCCTACGACAAGGGCCCAGAAACGTCGCAACTGAGCAGAGATGGCAGTATCAGCCTCGACGATATGTCGATGGGCAGCTTGTCGTAAGTATATGGAGCCAAACCACTCTTTTCGAGGCGATCCCCTCTGAGCCAGTATCACAGACCTGTCGACATGCCCGTCTTCGCCCGCAAGCACGATCCCCCCGTCGACCGGTCCGACTTGACCAACTCGCCATTGTTGCTCATGGTTCCGTCGGAGTCGGCGGTGATGGGCCAGCTTCGGCCTGCCAGCCCCGAAGGCCGATACCCCCTTCACCCTCCGGCTGCTAGCACTTCGCTTTCCCCCCCATCACCAATCCTCCCATTACATATCTACTTGATGGACAAGAATGATCATGAACGTCGGCTCCTGAGGCTGTCCGGCTGTCCGAGCCTCGCCCTTCACGCAGCTAGGCTCGATTTCGGGTCCGAGCCGGAGTGGAGCGGACGAGCGTCGAGGGGGCCGGAGGCAGAGGGTCTCTCGGAGCCACTTTCTTCTTGGGACTATGTCGAGCGTGATGAGGAGCTGCATCAAGAAACTCATCGCGCGCCAGCCGCTGCACACAAGAGGAACGTCGAAGCTGCTCGAATGATCGGCTCTGGTTTAGATGATCGCCGGAAAATGGCACGCCCAGCTCCGACAGGCAAGCACCGCCCCGTTTCGCCCTTGTCGGCCGCCTCGCTCTCTTCTTCTCCTCGTGCCGATGTCTCGACCATATCTGACCTCGTCGCGGATGCACCCCTGGCAGCACGGCATATCTCTCTTCACCGCGAACTCCAACGAGCGGGCCTGGGCGGTCTCGGGACGAGCGCTCACAGCCGACTTCGTTACCATCGGTGAGAGAGAAAGACCCATGATGAGACACTGAGCGCGTGGACTAATTCTGGACTACGATGCTAGGGCTGGTGATGGGGTTCCTCGGAGTATGCGGGTCAAGAAGCCTTTGCTGCAAAGGCGTCGCCCTGGGCCTAAGAAAGATCCTTGACAAGTGGAACGACACGCAGGGCAAGGTCACGATGAATCACTGGCTAGTGCTTTAGTCATGTTGGGGTCAAAGTTTTGTTTGATTTTTGACTTTCCAAATATAAAAACCCAGCTGCTTTGCAAGGGGAGCCACCTCGCTTCTCAGATGATGACCTCAACAACCAAGTCCCTCAAACTCTCGCATTCCTATAAAAGCAGACGCTGCCTGGCCATGCTTTAGGTCTTGGGTATCCAAATAATCAAATCCAACCATGCCCAAACGCCAGTCCCGCTCAACCAATTCATCATGTGCAGTCTTCATGTACAGTCCTGCACCCTCATCGCCCCCCGCCCCCCCCCCGTCCTCCCCGTCATGTGCCATGAATGATCAGTAGTAGAAGACTGAGCGATATGCCGACATGGCAGTAGAAATGTCGTAGAACCAAGGAGCCAAGGCGACGTAGCCCGGGCCGCCAGGAATGGCATGGATCTTCTCGGGACCCTTGTAGCTGCCAAGGAGGACCTTGTTCTGGTATTTTTGGAAGTGGCGGGTGGCCTTTGCGTGCCGACGCGAGCCGAACTTGCAGACGTAGAGGGCAAAGTCTATGGCGCCGCGCTTGATGGCCTGCACGCTCAGAACCTCGGCTCTTTGGGTGGCCAGCTGGAGACGAAGGTCGATGACCTGTTCGCTGGGGTAGCCGCCGCCCGCGCCCTCTTGTTGGGTGGTAGGACTGTTGAAATCGTCGATGAAGAGGTTGCCGCTGGCCGCCAGGGCTTCCGCGTATGAGTGGTTTATGTAGTCAGGGTCCTCGTCATTCCAGAAGCCGTTGGAGGATTGACGTCGCTTCTCCATGCAAAGCACCCGCAGCGTGTGGCGGGCGCGGAAGTATGAACGCGATGAGCCAAATGGAGAGATGGGGGGAATAGGTGTTCCCGTCTCGAGGCAGGTGGCGATGTGCCGGCCAGCCCGGAAGGCGGCACGCTTGCGGGCGCTGCGAGGGCGGGGCACCCTTGGGCTCATCCGCTTGCTCGGGCTCGGCCTCTTGTTTGGGCTCGAGTTTGAGTTCCCGCTGGCTTTGTTTCTTGTGTTGTAGAAGTTGGGAGGAGTAGTGGGCTGGTATTTTTTGAGGCAGCTCTTGCGCGGGGCAGGGCGGTTCCGCGAGGGACCAAGCAAGTCGAGGGCGGCAAACTTATCGACGAGCTCTTCCACTGATGTGGGCTCTGTGACGGCCCGAGATTTCTTTGGGCAAGTGGACGCAAGGGGTCTGCCGGTCCCAATGGGGGCAAGAACATGGTCGCCGGCTTTGCGGGGAGCAAGCGGGACAGAGAGGCTTGTGGTGGTGGTGGTGTTGGTGTTGGTGGTGGTGTTGCCAGAGGCAAACGCCCTCTCGGCGACGGAAGAGTGTGTGTGGGAAGGCATGTCGTGGGTCTCAATTGTGAGCTTGTTTGGTTGTTTGTAGTAGCTGGTATGTGGTTGCTATTGGCTGATGAGTTGAATGCGTGGCCTGAATGGAGCAGTGTGGGGAAGTATGTAAGTGGATTGAAGTTGAATTGTATGTGCTTGTGTGTGCTTGTATGTGATTGTATGTGGATGCTGTTGGCTGACGAGTTCAAAACTTGGCCTGAAAGTAATAGTGTGTGAGAAGTATGTAAAAGGGAAGAGATGGGCTCGAGGGCTCGGGGGGGGGGATGCTCGCCTACTTATGCAGAGAGGCAGGGCGGTGTAAATGGGGTGACTGTAGCGTATGAAGTGCGGCAGTAAAGGCAAAGAGGGAGTCATTGCCCATATGACCTGAAAAGAAGCTCATGGCTTGGAAGAATGGTCGGGGTCGTACAACTGAAGGTGGGCTAGCAGAGTCTCTTTCGCTGAGAGGAGCGGGGAGGCAGAAAGGTAGAATGGCGAGGAAGCAGAAAGATGGATTGACGAGGAGTCAGAAAGGCAAATTGGCGAGGAAACAGAAAGGTAGAAGGGGGAGGGAGCAAAAAATAAATCGGTGGGCGAGGAGTCAGAAAGGCAGATTCACAAAAAGTCAGAAAGGTAGATTGGCAAGGAAGCAGAAAGATGGATTGATGAGGAGTCAGAAAGGCAGATTCATAAAAATTCAGAAAGGTAGAATGGTGAGGAAACAGAGATATAGATTGACGGGGAGTCAGAAAGGCAAAATGGCGACGAATTAGAAAGGTAGATTGGCGAGGAAGCAGAAAGATGGACTGACGAGAAGTCAGAAAGGTAGATTGGCGAGGCGGCAGAAAGGCAGATTGGTGAGGGTCCAAAAAGGTAGATTGACGAAGAGCCAGAAAATAGAATGGCGAGAAATCAGAAATCGGAGAGGCGGATTAACGAGGCGGCAAAGAAGCGGATTGGCGAAGAATCGGAAAGATAGAATGGCGAGAAATCAGAAATCGGAAAGGCAGATTGGCGAGGCGGCAGAGAAGAGGATTGGCAAAGAATCGAAAAGAGAGATCGACGAGGGACCAGACGGGCTGCCATCTCTCCGGCGCGTGTATTTGCCGCGATGCTGGACCGAGTCTCTGAGCGACGGGCGACGAGCGTGGTGGGTGATGGAGACATTGCGAGGTCGGTGGCAGTTAGGGCACGGTCATTTCGTCAGCAATTGCGCGGAGAATCCAGAAAGAGTGTTGAAAAGGGAACAATGGTTAAAGAGAGTGATTAAGAGGAACAGCAAAGCCAAGGCACGGCGGGCTCGCAAGCTTGTCGTCGTCAAGGTTCGCTTACCTACGCAGCCGACTGCCGAACCCCAGGAAAAGCCCCCACGTGGCTGTGGGCCGTGCCGCCTGATTTCCCCGGACGCCAGTGTCTCGCCTCAGCCCTCGCTTAAAGGTTGATCCGTCGCCCCGTCTTCTAGGGTCTCTGCCCTGCCTCGTTTCCAAATGGCCTTGTGTAGCCAAACAAGGCAAGTCTCCTCCAACAAGCACCCATCCGCCCGGTTAGCTCAATTGGATAGAGCGTGAGACTCTTACCATGTAAGCTACATCTCAAGGTTGCGGGTTCGACCCCCGCATTGGGCTTTTCCTATACTATCAAAAACCACCAGACTGAACTGAGTTGGATCGGGTGTGAGTCATGTGATGTTCTTTTTGTGTTTTTGGCCCTCTCGAGCCTAATTCTGTCGGTTTTCTCTCCGGCCCTGTGAGGGGAAAGTGAGTTCTTGTTTCAGCATACGTGGATCAGCCTTGAGGGAAAAAAACTCCCTTTTTTTTAATTAATATTTTACCCCATCTTGTTTTCCCATTTTCCCGGCGGACGGGCAGGAGCCCTTGGCAGAGCTTATTCCATTTATTAATGTTGCCGTCCATCCAAACCCATTTTGGGACTGGGCTGACCAGAATACCAAGATGCAACCTCGTTTCCCTAATTCAGCGTGTGATCGTGCACGCCAGCGTCGTTGCTCGACCTCCACCCCGCCCGACACGCTATTGATACAGCGATGCCTCTCTCTCCTCCATCCTGTCATGAGACAGAGGCCGGCATGAAGTGGGGCCAGGCCTCTTCAACCCGCATCTTATCATCATCATCGTCATCATCACCATCCTCGTCCCAGCTTCACTCCTCCGCACCGCCATGGCCGCCCAAGAGCCCTTTGTCCCGGCCCTCATCGTCGTCGACTTTCAGCAAGACTTTTGCCCGCCCGTACGTACCCGCATCTCCACCCCTCACCATGTAAAAAAACCCCCTCGTAGCCCCTCCCTTCTCATCTCTTACACGCCTATTCAGAACGGCTCCCTCGCCGTCCCCGACGCCCGCTCCATCGCCCCGGCCATCAACGCCCTCCTCGCCCTCCCCTTTGCCCTCAAGCTCGCCACCCGCGACTGGCACCCGTCCGACCACGTCTCCTTCGCCGCCAACCACGCCGCCGCCTCGCCCTTTACCTCGCTCGCCACCGTCGTCCACCCGGCCGACCCCTCGCGCTCCTACGACACCACCCTCTGGCCCGTCCACTGCCTCCAGGACGCGCCTGGCGCCGCCCTCGTCCCCGAGCTCGACGTCGCCCGCCTCGACGCCGTCGTCGACAAGGGCACCGACCCGCGCTTCGAGATGTACTCGGCCTTCTACGACCCCTTTCGCCTCACGGATAGCGGCATCGCTGCCCGTCTCGCGAGCCGCCGCGTCACTCATGTCTTCGTCGTCGGCCTCGCTGCCGACTACTGCGTAAAGGCCACCGCAGAGTCCGCCGCCGACGAGGGCTTCACCACCTATATTGTCGACGAGGCCACCAAGCCTGTCTACCCGGACAAGTGGCCTGCTTCCGCCGGCCATGTCCTGGCCAAGGGCGTCAGGATTGTCTCCGTGGCCGGCGACGAGCTCGCCAGGGTCAAGTCTGCTGAAGGGGACCAGACTTGCCACGACAGTGACTGGCGTGGCACACCTGCACGTGGGCTCTAACAGAGGCTGATGTTGGGCCCTTGCCAGCTTCAACGAGATGGCCTTTCTACTGCAGCAATTAAAAAATGATCAAGTAAATACATCAACGCTGCGCTGACTGGCTTCCTCCAGTGTCCAGCCGCAGGTATCGCCAAGCGACTCTTGTGCCTCGTGTGCGCCTGTTCACGAGGCAAGCTCAACGGACATGCTATTACTCAGTACCTTGCCCAATGCTTCGGGATTGCTGACCCCATCGACTTCTTCCGTCCACATATCGCTACCGCCTTGACCTCTGCTGGGCCGCGGCGCTCAGCATCGATGTCTCGTGCGCACTCGTCATGGCCAGCGAGACTGGCGTCGTCGACTGCGGGGCTGGTGTTGTGGTTCGCGACGGTGCCGCGCTCCGATTGTGCTGCATGTGTGCCTTGACCAAGTGACCAGCCGCCAGGGCACTGCACAGCGACAGCTCGCCGGCCAGGACCGCCGCGCCGATGATGCGTGCAAGGCGCCGAGAGTTGTCGCCTGGGTTCGTCGGGTGTGAGCCCCGAACGCCGAGCATGTCGAGCAAGGCGCTCTGCGGCTCGAGAATGGTGCCGCCACCCAGCGTGCCCACTTCCAGCGACGGCATCGACACGCAGATTTGGAGCGACCCGTTGAGGCTGTGACAAGTCGTTAGCATGCTTCACAGACCTAGCAGAGCAACGGAGACGGCTTACTTTTTCATGGTGGTGATGCAGTTGGCGCTCTCCACCACTTGGGCAGGGTCCTGGCCCGTTGCCAGGAAGATGGCAGCCACAATGTTGGCGGCGTGCGCATTGAACCCACCAATGGAGCCGGCCATGGCCGAGCCGATGAGGTTCTTGGACACATTGAGTTCCACCAGCGAGTCGACGTCGCTCTTCAGCACGCTCTTGACAACTTCGGCCGGGATAATAGCCTCGGCCACGATGCTCTTGCCGCGCCCGTCGATCCAGTTGATGGCCGCCGCCTTCTTGTCGATGCAGTAGTTGCCCGAAAGCGACACAATCAACATGTCGTCAAAGCCGCCCTCGGTGGTCATGACGTCGAGCGCGTGCTCGACGCCCTTGGAGATCATGTTCATGCCCATGGCATCGCCCGTCGTCGTCTTGAACCGAATGTATAGGTTGGTGCCGGCAAGGGCCGTCTTCATGGATTGCAGACGAGCGAACCGGCTCGTCGAGTTGAACGCCTTCTTCATCACCGACTGCCCGGCCTCCGAGTCCAGCCAGAGCTTTGCGGCGCCGGCCCGCTCTAGAGTCTCGAAGCTGATGCAGGGACCGCGCGTCATGCCGTCCGCCGTCAGGACGGTGACGGCGCCGCCCCCAGAGTTGATGGCCTTGCATCCTCTGCTCGCGCTGGCCACCAGCACACCCTCCGTCGTGGCCATGGGGATGAAGTAGCTCTGGCCGTCGATGACCAGAGGGCCGGCGACGCCGACGGGTAGGGGGAGGTATCCAACCACATTTTCGCAGCAGGCTCCAAAGACACGCTCCCAGTTGTAATCCTCAAAAGGTAGCTTAGACCGCTCCAGGCTATTGGTGAGCTCCATGGTCGCCTTTGTCCGTGAAATTATCATGCGTCTGACTTTGACGGCGCGGGTAAAGTCCTTCAACGTCTTCTCCAGGGCATAACCGGGAATCTTGCCGCGCATGGACATGGTGACAACCTCCTCGTCAGACATCTCGTGCGCGCGCTTTTCCGTCAGCAACTTCTCCAGCTCCCCGTACGAGCGATGTTCTGACGGCGAGCTGGGCAGTCGAAGCTTTGTCATCGAGAACGTGTCCAGCTCGTCGTCGGTCATGGCAGGGGTCGGAGGCTCGGTCTGCTGCGGCGGCGCCGGAGGCACGTATTCGCCGAGAGGCAGCGTTGCCGAGTCGGTCTCGTTGAACCTCTGGGCGCGAGCCAGCTCCTTGCGGTCGATGCCTCGGTCGGGCACATTGGGGTCCTTGATCCCCCACCTGGCGGCGTTGAAGAGGTACCCGTTCAAGCCGACGCTTAGGGCCAGGGCGACCACGATCCACTTGGACAGGACAGGGTCCTCCAGGCTCTTGAGGAGACTGCCCACCACGCGGCCACCGACGCCGTAGCTATCAAACTGGCCCAACCCATCGCACTTGCTCATGCCGCCGCCACAGGCCGACGAGACCAGGGCGTAGTGGACGGACGGATACTCGAGCTCGTACTTTATGGGGGTCAGAATCGTGACAAGAGTCGACTTGCCGCTGGCCTTGGCCGCGGCCAGGATCGCGTCCAGACCATTGGACGCCACCTTGAACGGGTCGACGGGCGGATTGGAAACGACGCCGCCCAGGCCTCCGGCCCAGGATCGGAGAGTCGACAGCGACGTGGCGCTGCGGAAAGGGATGGTGCAGATGTTGATGACGTTGATAAGGATGAAGCCCGAGATCATGAGCACCTTGAACTTGGGGACGCTGCTGCTCTTGACCTTGGAGCCGAAGAGAGAGGTATCTTCTGCCCTCTTGCCGCCGGCTAGGAGCCAGTCATCGTCGCCCGTTGCCACGTTCTCGGCCACCCGGCGGCTGACGCCGTCAGCCTCGAGCGCCATGCGCATGTTGACATGGCGCTTGATGCGGTTGATCTCGAGCTTGATGCTGAGAATAGCGGTGTAAAAGGTGAAGAGGAGGATGCAGTCGAACAAGAGGATCCAGGCGGCCAGGAAGCAAAACTGCTGCAGCCCGCCCTGGACGCCCGAGGCAGCGCCGAGGACGAGAATGATGATCTCGATGGCATAGTCACGGAGAATCTCATAGCCCTTGTCCTTGATGGCAGCCTGGATGGCGTACTGGATGACGTTTTGTGCCTCGGCGGGCTTCTGTTTGGACTGGGAGCCGTGGGTCTGGGTGCTCCGGTGCTCGACGGCGTGAGAGAGAACAGCCCGCGTCAGGACAATGTTCTTTTCAAAGCCAATCGTAACGACCAGGAAGGGCAAGCCCTCGGACAACAGGATGAAGCTGATGGGGACACCGAGCTTCGCCGTGACGGCCAGGCCAAAGAGGAAAGCAAAGACGGAGGAGAAGAGAGTGCTCGTGGCGAGCCAGAAGTTGGAGCCCATGCGACGCATGGAGAGGAAGAGGGAGACAAAGGTGAGGTGCATAGACAGGTAGCCCAAAATCATGATGACAATGTCGAGCGACTCGGCGTTTTTGAGCAGGTCGAGAAACTCGGTCCAGGCATTGGTGGCCCACTGGGCAAGTGAACCGCGTGTGTCGACCTTGGCAGCCTTCATGATCCACATCTTTTTCTCACGGCCATGGCGCGTCACCGTCTCCTCGGCGTCCTCGTTAGGGATCTCTTGGATGGCGGACACAAATTCGGGAGCATCGGTATATGGGAGGGAGTAGGCGAGTATGCTGTCCTGGGAGTAGGCTGTAAAGGGGTTTTCGGTGGAGGGGAGAGGGGTGATGGACAGGTTGCGCGGAGTCGGGAGCGCGTGGGACGGCGGCGCGTTGCTCGGCGAGTCGGTGGAGAGGGTGTCGGGAAAGACGAGAGTCAGCAGGGCCAAGTGGTCAATATCGGCAGCCGCGGCATCGTGCTCCACGCTGTGCCACTTCCATGCCGTGTCGGGGCCGGCGAGGAGGTGTCTGCTGCCGTCGACCAAAGACGACCAGTCGGCCTTTCCGATGCTCGGGGCACCCTCGAACAAGCTCTCCTGGAGGAGGCCGACGTACGAGGTGCTGGCGAGGAGAGCGACGATGACGATGATGTGGATTGGGTGGTGGCAGGCAAGCTTGGACATGCGCTGGAGGAGCGGCGCAATCTTCTTGGCCATGCGGGAGGGGGCTTCGGCCTGCTGAGGGCGGTCCGGTTCACCGCGGAAGCGGGTGGGGAGGAAGGAGGCGGATATCATGGCGAAGAGTCTAGAGGGGTCGAATCGCAAGCTCGATCAGCGGCATTGGAGTCCTTTGCGGGACGTCGAGAGCTCGGTCTTGACACAGCAAAGTGATGTTAGTCGCGGCCTAGTCAACATACTGAAAGTGTTTGCCCCGGGGGAGCGGGTTGGTGTGACGGTGAGGGGCAGGGGCAGGTCGTGGTGGGTGGGCGGGTTGGACTGCATGGCTGATGAACAAGCCTTTAAGCGGAAAACTGACCTCTGCGTAGATTGGCTGTGCGCGTCGAGTCCAACCGTTGTTTCGGCGATGGGGGGCCTTGGGATAACGACGCAGCCAACGACGCAGGATCGACTCAGGCACAAGGGTATGCTGAGGCTGATGTGGCCAAGATGGACGGGCGAGGCTGCCGAGGCGTTGGCTTTGGCGATGGCCGACGAGGAGAAAATATGGAGAGGAAGAGGAGGCGCTTGATGGATCAGAGGCTAGGCGCTTCTCTGCAGCATTGAGATTAAATGTTGCCCGTGCGTGGGCCCCGTTGCGAGATTGGCCAGGACTTGCGACGACGGAATGTCGAGCGAGACGAGGAAAAGAAGAAAAACCCGGCCGGGCGAGAGGAGGGGGAGCGTGTTTGGTGATAACGGAAGGCGTGAAAAGGGGCGAGGCGCGATTTTGGCGCGCACCGCAGACATTAAGTGACGCAAAGCCGTCGCCAGGTATCGGGCTGCGCATGGGAGGTACATGCTCCGGGGCGGTGCAGACGAAGGAACCTGCTCGGCGATTGGCCGTCTCGCTTGCCGAGTGGCGCTGCTCGGCGTCCCTCGGTACCTCGGATATCTGAGGTACGGGATCGATACCTGCGGTGCCGGCGCAGAGACATCTCAGGTCTGCCCACTACGAAGCCCACATTTTCGACATCAACTGGGTCAACTAGTGCCACGAAGGACAGCACTCCCTTGTATTCTTACTTTCTTGGCACCATCTGTTAAGGACTTCGCTGTACACAACACACATCCGCTAACAAGGGCGTTTAACACCACGCTCAGCGCAAGCTGAGGGCGGCGATGGCACCCAACCCCGCGGACCAGGCGCGACTGCCGCCCCAGGAACAAGAGCCGATGACTCCACGAACGCCCCAGGAGCTAGAGAAGCGCTCCTCCGGCAGGCCCCACGCGCGGGTCTTGCCGAATTACTGTTGCCACGACGCGCACAGCAACCCGACGACTCTCCATTCGGCTCCACGAACAGCGACAATGCCCACACCGACACCGACCAGCCAGATGCTGTAATGGGAGACGCAGCAGACGAAACCGAGACCGACGAGCCGGACGACCTGCCCGAGACTCAAGGCCCAGCAGTAACGGTTGCCCACGCGGCAGAGAGACTTATCGCCAACCAGATGGAAGCACAACAGGCAAAGCTGGCCGTCTTCCGCGCATTCTGCACCGCCTTCGACAAGACGGCTGCCCAGTTCAACTCGGGCCACGAGCTCAGCTTCGCGAAGGAATTCTCGCGCGGCTTCATTAGCTACTGGGACGACGCGCTCAACGGCGCGCCCACACGCGCCGGTCAGAATGTCAACAACCGCCACGGCAGAGACGGGACCGCACCGACCTACGCCGCTATGGCCCAGAAGGATGGCACAGACAAGGGCTCCCCTGCCGGCACGCCTCGGCCCGAAGCCCCGGAAGGCGCCTCCGGTCCAGCCGCCTAAAGATGACCTGCGTGTCTTCGTGCGGCTCGACGACAAGTCCCCAGCATGGGGCTATCAGGGGCATGCCATCAGAGCTCACGTAGCTAAGACTCTCAACCTAGGGACAGAACGCATGCCACAGATCGCCCGGGTTAAGACTGGATGGGCTATACGGGCCTCAGACCGGGAGGCGAGGACCTGCTTGTGGAACGGCAGGACGACTGGGCGGCCCGCCTCGGGGCCGTGGCGGTTGAAGGCTTCCAGAAGTGGCACACGTACGCTGTGGCCGACTGCCCCAGGCAGCTCACGGATATCTGGGGGGCCGCCGTGGACTATGACCAAGCTATCAAAGAAGAGATCAAGCTCCAGACAGGTGCCGAACCAATTGATGTGCACATTGCTAAGAGATACTCCGAAAGCTCCGACCAGCCCACTGTGACAATGATTGTGTCCTTTCAGGCGGCGATACAGAGGAGATGGCGGCTCTTCGGCACCAGCCGACTAGCCCGACTGATCGCCAAGACCGCCCGGCCCGCGCAGTGCGACACCTGTTGGGATTATCACCCCGCTACGCCTGCGACCGAAAACAAGCCTGCCGACGATGCGGCGGGAAAGACCATCGCGATAACGACTGCAAGCAGCCGGAGAGGTGCGCGAACTGTTCCGGGCCCTTCCCGGCAGACCATAAGGAGTGCCCTGCCAGACCTAGGCGCTCTCACGGCCAACTCGTGCGGCTCTCAAGATCGAGAAGTACGCCGTAAGGAAGATCGGCTCTCAGCTATACCGGCAAGCCAATATGGAGCTCGAACGGGCCACGGCGACCGCCTCCCCAACCCTCCCAAGGACCGACCCCATCGCCCTGCATGAGAGCTGCCGAGGCCCGCCTAGGCAAGCAACAGGACCAGCAGCAGCAACAGCAGCAGCAACAGCAGCAGCAATGTCGACCCCAGCGGCTGTCCCCCACCAGCGCGCAGGCGCCAGACTCCACAACGCTCCCTCCACCACAGGAAGACAGATCCGAGTCTCCTATGAAGAGGCGCCGACGAAACGTATCCCTGGACGTAACAACTCGCGACAGGAGGACGATCCGAGTTCTCCAGGCCAACGTGGCCAAAATAGGGGCCTATCATAGCATAGCCCTACGACTAGCGGAAGCAGAAAACTACGACGTCGTGCTCATCCAGGAACCGAACGTTTGGATAGAAAAAGAAGGCGGAGCCTGCAGGACCCAGACGCACCGCTCCTTCCACGCATTCGCCCCAGAACGCGCCTGGGAACCGGATCAGGCCCCGAGAGTGATCTCGTATGTCCGGAACCACCCAGATATACGGGCAGAGCAACTCTGCCCCGCCCCTACGCGTGATATCCTGTGGCTCCGGGTAAACAGCACCCTTATTATCAACTTCTATCGACACGCGAAGACACCCGAGCCACTCGACTACCTCCTCCACCAGCAGGACGTCCCGAGAGATGCCTCATCGCGGGCGACTTCAACGCCTGTCATTTCTCCTGGCAGCCTGGAGCCCGGAGTGCGAGGAACGGAAAGGACATCGCCCAGTGGGCGGCCGACAAGGGGCTCGGACTGCTCACCACGCCAGGCGAGGCCACACACGCCCGCGGAAATACCATTGATCTAGCCTTTGCCAATATCCCCTCTGCGGACGCGCTTATCGAAGAGCACCTTCATACCGGCTCGGACCATTACACGATCAGCATTACGCTCCCCGGCGGATTCCCCAAGGACGATAGCTAGACCAAGGGTAAGCTCCGAGGAAGAAATGAAGCGATTCGAGGAACTTGTGCGGGCTGGGGCCACAGCACTACCCCGGCTGGCCGTTGAGCCCAGAGGCCTGAGAGGCTGGCCGAGGCGCTGTCTCGCCTACTCCAAGAGGCGGCCGACGCAGCGGGCCGACGGCCCAGGAAGAACGCGAGAGGCACCCCATGGTGGAACGATCAGTGCGCCGGTGCAGCGGCCGAACTAAGAGCTATGCGGCGGATCTACCCCACAGGGCACGGCAGAGAGGTCCAGACTGCCCGGCGGGAGCTGCGCCGGGCGGTACGGCGGGCTAAGAGACATTTCTGGCAGACTGTTCTAGAAGGCGCCGAGAGCAACCAGGATATCTATAAGATCATGCGGTGGTCGAGGAAACCGAGCCCGTTCCGGGCCCCGCCTATACAGGTAGGCGACCAGGTCTTCGAGACCCAGACGGAAAAGGCAAACGCGCTCCGAGTCGAGATCCTAGAAAGGCGCGGGGCCGCGGACGACATCCCGGACCCCTGGGCCCCAGAGGTGCTGGCCCCAGGGAGGACTCTCGACTGCAGCGTCACGCTCGCGGATGCGGCATGCGCCTGCACCTCTACGGGCAACACCTCCCCGGGGATCGACGGCATCACGGTCCGAATGCTGCGTCGCGTCTGGAACCACATCGGCGAGGCGGTGAGGGAACTATATGAAGGCTGCCTACACGTGGGCTACCACCCCGCCTGTTTCCGCGCAGCAGAGGTCGTAATGATCCCTAAGCCTGGCAAGAGGGACCTGTCTATTCCGAGAGGCTGGAGGCCGATTTCTCTCAGCTTGCCTCGGCAAGGGACTCGAACGCCTAATAGCCCGGCGCCTAGCCTGGGCTGCGATCACACAACGAGTCATCCACAGCCAGCATGCGGGTGCCCTGCCCAAACGTTCAGCGCTCGACCTAGCGCTAGCATTGCTCCACGACGCGGAGACGGCCCTCACCGAGGGGAAAGTCGCCACGCTAATCACGATGGATATACAGGGCGCCTTTGACACGGTTCTGCGGAACCGGCTCCTCCTACGCCTACGGAACAGGGCTGGCCAACAAACCTGGTCCGGTGGGCAGGCTGCTTTATGGAGCAGAGATCGGCCAGAATACGGCTCGAGGATATAACGACGCCGACAACCCCCCTGACGTGCGGGCTGCCACAGGGCTCCCCGGCCTCCCCGATTCTCTTCCTCCTCTATACAGTGCCCATCTACTCGACAGGGGAACCGAACTCGCGCTTCGGCTACGCAGATGACGTGGCCACCCTGATCCGGGGCCGGTCCCTACAGGAGACGGCCGCCCGGGCCACGCGCGCCGCGGGTGAGCTCATCCAGTGGGGAGCCGATAATGGCGTAGTGTTCGACCCGGGCAAGACAGAAGTCATCCACTTCACGAGACCGAGATACAAAGGGGACCTGCCGTCGGTCTGGCACGGGTCCGTAGAAAGGAGCCACAGCAGGACCTGCGCTGGCTCGGCGTCTGGTACGACAGAAAGCTCTCATTCCGCACGCATGTGGAGAAGTGGGCCGCGAAGGCGATGACGGCCGCAGGGTTCCTCCAGAACCTCTCAAACACCCGGCGCGGAATCCTCCCGGTCGACACGGCATGCGGTCACGGCCTGCGTCCTCCCGATCCTTTTATACGGCGCCCATGTATGGTACCCGGGGGCGCTTCGGCCTGTGTGGGGGACTGCCCGCTTAGTTCCGTCGCGGATCACCTACCTGAAGAATAGGATCCAGCTGACCTTAAACGTCGCAATGCGCGCTATCGCGCCCGTCTGGTGTACCATGCCGATTGTGGCCCTCCACCGAGAGACCGGCATCCCCCCTGCCACGCTGCTCCTCGCAGACGCCCAGAGACGCGCCGCGGTCCGTCTACGCTCCTAGATGAGCGGCACCCTTGACCCCGTATGAGCATCCTCCCAACGCCTGGCCGGGAGCTAATGAAGAGGCACGGTATGCGGGCCCCTCGCGCGGCCCAGAAGCAGCACGCCTCGAGACTCCTGCGTCTTCACCAAATGACGGCCCATGCTCCGAGGCCCCGACTTCTCCCAGCACCCCTCAGCCCGACCCGACAGGGGGCGTAGACAAAACGCAGGCGGCTCGAGACTTCCACTCGTGGCTCCGGGTATGCCCTGAAGATACCCTCATCGTCTACACTGACGGCTCGCAGAGCGAAGACGGCGCCTGCGGGTATGGGTACTCAGTGTGGCTAGGCCCTAGCGAAGTGACCTACGGCAGCGGTCGGGTCCTACTCGCTGAGGTCTACGACGCAGAGGTGGAAGGCGCCCTCGAGGGGCTTCGAGCGGCACTCACGTGGTCCCCCAGAACCCCGGACCAGCAGTGGCCGATAGTCGTCTGCCTTGATAACACTGCGGCTATAAGAGCCATACGAGGCAGCCCATCGATCTCGTCGCAAGCGGCTGCGGAGAAGTTCGCTGAGGCCGCGGCTCGACACGGAGATGTCAGCACGCGTTGGTGCCCCGGCCATACGGGGATCGCCGGCAACGAGCGGGCCGACCAGCTAGCAAAGGAGGGCTGCCGGGCCGAGGGTCCGGACAGATCGCCGACCTACGCGAACATCAAGAGACAGGCCAAGGCTGCGGCCAGGCGCGACTTCCAGGACTGGTGGGCCGCGGGGCCCGAGCAGCTACAAGAGCCTAGAGCTCAAGGCCTCGCTCGGGTGCCCCCCGGAGCTGCACACCAAACGAGAGCACCTCCATCACCTGCTCGCTGCGAGGAGCGGGCACGGGGACTTCGCCGACTACCACGAAGAGGCCCGGATCGAATGCTCTTGCGGGAGGAGAAAATCACCGACACACCCTTCTACTGCCGGAAGGTAGGTACTCGACACCGCCTAAGGCTAGCCCCACGGCGGGCAAGGCTATCAACCAGGCACTAGGAAGGGATTTGACCGGTTCCTCGGGCTAGTAACGGAGGCAGAATTCTTTGATCGGATCTCCCACCGCCACTAGCTCGAGGCAACCCTCCAACCTAATATGTACTCTCTCTTTTCTATGTTTTCTGCCCGTAGGCTCCTGTGGCCTACGGCCCAGCTGACTGCGTGGGCTTTCTCAGTCACCCGGCTCTGACCGAAGACTGACTAATATTACGGCTTCGCCGCCGTGCCCGGAACCCGCTGACGGGGGAAGGGACCTGAGAATCCGAGCGGCCACAGAGTCCAAGAATTGCTAGATAGGGGAGTAGAAGTAAGGAACGCGCGACGGGTCTCCGACGAGCATCCCCATCTTGTACTATACCTAGCCTAGCACGTCTTTTGCCCTTATAGGGATGTCCCAGACGGTAATCAATACTACTACTACTACTACTAGTGCCACGAAGGAATCGCGACTCCAAAAAAGACCGCTTCCACGTACAGTATGTACATACAAGCGAGCATAATATAGCTTAGGTCTACTTACATGTGAGCTATTTTAGCATCTGCATGGAGCATGTAGGATCGCCCATGTTTGCGGAGCGTGTATCACATCCACTGGCACAGGAACAGCATCTGCAATAGGCTAGGTACTTAGGAGTGTCGATTCATTCAGCAATGACGGCTCTGCCCCTGCACCAGGCAGCACTTGTGTGTCTGTTGTCAACTGCTGGGCACCTCGTCGAGGGTCGCAACCGGTAACCGGATATAATGTGGCACTGATGCTCCTATTACAGATATATTACCTGCTTGCCTAGCATGCCTAGGTTGTATACTTCGTAATTAATACACCGTCCACATCTGCACGAGCTGATGCATCCCCATGCAACGTACGCACCACTGGCCCACCTGCCACGCAACTCGGCTTATTATTAGTAGAAAGTAGAAGAAAGCTGGTGAACCCGTGTCTCAAGCCATGGACTCTGCTACCGTCTGGTGCACCTGCAAGGCTCGCGCTACGCATGGAAGAATGACCCCATACCGGACGAGGCACAGCCTTGCACACCAACTCTTTAGTGTTGCAAAGCTAGCAACGACAAGACGCCCCAAAGAGCCTCACTCCATCCAGCCGGGCAAGACGCAGGGCATCCGCTTGTCCTTTCAGACAAGCACAGGAGCTATGTCTCAGTCAACCTGTCGAGGCATGCTGCAGTTGAACCGTTTAACAGACGACGGGCTTGACGTGGGACCGAGTGTCAGGCTCTCGACTCGGCGTCGGCTTCCCAAAGCACATGACGAGCGTCGCATTACGAATCGCAGAGGCGCATGCACAGCGGTGACCAACAGTATTACGTATGTAGTAATGTGCCGTTGGCCCCGGCACTGTACCTGTACAGTATGTCGGGAAAATTGACCCTCGGCTAGCTAGCACACGTCACCCGTGGCGCAGACGGGATTGGCGAGGAGAATGCCGCTTTGATCCAGGCGGCGGTGGCCTGATTTGCCGAGCACCGTCGTATGTATGTAGATTCTTCCGTCCGCCACCCCCTCTCGGCCGAGGGTTCGGCGGCAGAGAAAATCCGAGCGCCGGGCGCCACATGGTCTGCCTAGACGACATGCCGTCAAATGCTCCCATAAGTTACCTGCTTCACTCAAGCGCCCTGACTCTCCGCTGTCCCAGCCCAAGCAAGGCAAGCGGGGTGAGCCAGCTTAGTGGGAGCATGAGCCGTGTCACCCCCCCCTGCTTGCAAAGGAAGAGAAAAACAGGATTCGAAACGCCCGGTCATGATGGCCCACCGTTGCGGAGCTTCTCGCTGTCCAGCATCCGGTATCGTCCTTCGGCCACCAACCGCCTCGTCGTGATGCGGTCCGGGTAGTTGCGACGACACATGTTCGTGAAGTGCGTTCCGTAATGGATCCCTTCAGCCGGCTCCTGTCCGCCGCTGTACCCCGGAAGTGGCTTGACCACGGCCCGGAAGTTGGGCTCGTGGAAATAGGCAAAGGCGAAGCGCTCGCGCGTGTTGAGCCCGACTTTGTGCGGCGTCGACCGGAGCACGCCATTGGTCATGTACTGCAGCATGTCGCCTGGTCGCCCGCGAGTCAGACAGACGCAACCACAAACTGGACTTGACTTACCGGGAAAGACGGTCAAGGTGCCTGGCGTCGGGGGCACGTATACCCAGCCCGGCTCGTTCTCCTCGTCTCCGGCGGCGCCCTGTCGCCAATTGACGGGCCGGCCCCCTCGTTGTGGTGGATACACAAACAGCCCTGTTACTCAAGTCAGCCTTCGGAACTGCGCCGCCTAGACGACATCTCTTACCTCCGACGTCATCTTGCGCAGCCATGACCAAGAGCCCATAATCCGTGTGAGCGCCGATGCCGCGCCCGTCCTTTCCCTTGCCGTTGGTATTGTGTCGGGCAGGAAACCTGTCCAGCCCTGTTAGATGGGCCCTCTTCCGCCTCTTGAGGGTCAGCTCACCTGAGGACGCGCATATGGTGCCAGCCGTCGTCGGTATACCTTGTCAACGACCCAGTGGGGACGCCAAGCCCCAGCTCGATCAACTCAAGGAGCTTGTTTCCACTCGCACCTAGATCGGCCATGTATCGTCCCATGACAGCCTTCATACCGCTATCCGGCCATGGACACGGCCCGTGGCATGGCCAGCCATGGGCGACTCTTTTATCTCTGGGCGACAGATCCTTGGTCACGGTGAAAATCTCCGAGTAGTCGGCCACGCCATCCGTTATCTCCTCGCCCGACGCAATGTAGCCGGCGTAGCTGCGCCTGTCCACACACGCCTGCTTCTCCCCGGCGGGACGGCGGAAGAAGCGCCTGCTCGACGCGTCTGCGCTCTGGTATCGCTGCCGCTGGAGCTGCGACATGGTTACCTGCAGGATTCCATCACGGCGCCAAGCGTCGATCATGGCCTTGGCCATGGCCTGGTCTGAGACGGACCCCGAAACCTTTTCCGGGAGGACAAACGTCTCGAGCTGTCCCACAGCAGCCGCGAACCCGGGCGGCATTGTCGATGCAAGAGTCGGTGGCATGGGCGAGGGGGTATCTGGCCCGCAGGCAGTCGACATGGGCCTGGCAGTCATGCTGATGTGTTGGCCGATACGTGCCATATTTGTGGAGGGTGACATGTCTATGGAATCGAGATGTAGTTCAAGAGCCCGAGATCTGGGGATCTTGCAGGCTGGTGGGAAACGAGACCTTTCTGAAGGGGGATGTTTGGTTGAAATACCCCATGGCCGACATAATCTCGATGGCTTGGATAGCTTGAGCTCGGTCACGCTCGGAAAGTCACGTCTGGAGCCGACGCCACGGCCTTTTCCGAAGACCATTCCACACCTCATGCTAGCCTCTGGGAGGCCCAACGTTGGACTTGGCCATGGTTTCACCGCGGTTCATCGACATGGCACCGAGCGGATACCTGGTCCCTCCACAATGGGCTGGTGAAGCCGTTTCTGCCTTGCTTTTTCCCACACTTGCTTTTTTCTACACTTGGTCTCAACGACATGATGTCTGGCGCAAAGGTGGACAAGACGGCAGATTGATGCCTCCCCGGAGTCGCGCCTATTTGGTGCGGTGGGGAAGCAGCTCAGACTTGGCTGGGTCGTGACGTTCTCCATGGATTTTCACGAGCCAGCTCGTGCAGCACGGAGGCCAATTAGAGACTGCCCCATCCAAGATAAGCAGGCGACTGGGAACAGCTTGTGAAGCAGGGCACGACTGAAAACGTCAAAGTTCGTGCCCCCACGTTTCCACTTGACGGCATGAGGCCGATCGAGAGATGCTGGCATAGCGTTTACGAGCGCTCGCCAAACCCCGAAGAGCCGGAGCGGACAGTAGGATATAACACAAATGCCAGGAAGAGGTGTGCAAGTGAGCATGTATCTCGTGGCGTTGCAGCGGTATGCCTCTCGGTGACAGTCGTGACGCGGAGGTGTTTTTGAGCGGGGCCTCCTAATGAGCATTTTCCCATACAAAGTTCGATCACGACAACAAAGAGCCAATGGAGCTAGAAGCACGATGACGGGCACGCAGGTGTGTGGCACAGATCAAGGTTTGGACGCGCAGGGCACTGCCGTGGCGGCACGCGGAGGCGCGCTTCACGATGATATCGATCCCTTTCCTTAGTGGCGAGACCGGGGCCAGGCCAGGCTGATGGAAACACGTATGCATGCGGTGGCAAAAGCAAGAGGGTGCTGCTCACCAGGAAGGCCCGCGATGGGGGCTCGGACTGAAGAAGGCTATCAGGGGGTACTTGTTTAGGGGGGATAGACCGATGGGGATGTCCGAGGAAGAAGATGGTATTAGGCCTACACGATAAACGAAGTGATACGAGGGGCCACGTCCGTAGAGAACTTAGGCCCCTATGCTGTACAATAAAATATTACTATTTATATATACGCATATCGCTATTTCATACCGAGGATTGTTAAGAATCGAGGTGAGCAGGGGTATAACACCAGGTGCATGCAGAAATCACGACATTAAGGCTTCGCCCAACGCGAAGCCTGGCTCCATGTTGGCTTCTTCCTTGGCCTGATACCCTCTGGAAACTCCAAGAAGGGTCTATCACGTCCAGTGTATCATTCGTTAGCTCGAGGCTATGCACATGCATGAGTGTTTGGGGTCCAGGCAAGGGAGATTTGAAACCTCACATACTTTGACCCGCACCACGCACTTTTATCGTGCTTGCAACGCTGCAGACAACGGTTAGGGTATTCTCTCGTTTAGTTGACATGTCATTACCTGGTATGCTTCGCATGCGAACATGGACTGCGACCAGAGTTTCGTGTACGAGGAGCGAGGAGAGCGAGGCATTTTAATACTTAATCCCCGTTACAGCCCATATAAATTCTGATAGTATGAAAAGGCCTGCCTCGTTAGGTCCTCACTTGCCCAGCGCCCAAGACCCGACCATTCTTTCCCAGGTACACCACGTCATGCAACCCCATCTACCATCTGCTACGCCAACCTGGCATAACGACGCTTATCGGCAATTCCGCCGGCTGGTCCTATTGTCGAGACAACCAGATAGACAATAATAATTACTGGCATCGTGAGTGGCCTGTCATTGTGCATTTTGCCTTCAGCTCGCCGTCTGCTACCCCCAGCCCGATGCCCCCTTCAACATACCTGAATAAGGATCCGAATGATATCGGCCAGTCCAACGTTAAGCATCCTCATGTATACCTCCGTAGGGCAGCGGCATCGGCCGAGAGACAGCCCATGCGTTTGCTGCCGCTGGGGCGACTCACCTTGCTCTTCTTGGCCGAACAAAGAGACGCTGAGGGACAGGGCCTCGGCACTTCCCTCCGACGTCTGCGCCTTAGTCCACGTCATAGACATCACCGATGAATGTCATGTTGCCGCGGCGGCAAACCATATGGGCAGCTAGGACGTCCTGGTTCTTCGGGGCGGCGTCTGCGGCGACGCCATCCACAGTTGCCTCGACGGATACCAACGATTCTTGGCGAAGCTTTAGATATATTGGAATCTAAGAGTGTTGCCCTCTTCGCAGCACTTGGAGTGCTGCCTCTCTCCTCGGGGAGGCGGATACGCCAGTGGGCGTGCTAAAATCCCCGTACCTTTAACAAACGCCAAGAGGGCCTTTATTTGCATCAAAGCTTTCTTGCCGGGCGCCAGCCTTTCCAATGCAGGACCATAGGTCCTACGAGCGGTGTAGCGACAATGCCGGAGACCATGGTGCCGGAGATTGCGGCCAGTACGGCTGCCAACCTAGCACAAGTGAAGCTTCATCGAGTACGTTGCCGCGGAGAACCACATTATCTTTACCGCCACTGTACATCCGAGCATGGTCGAGACGCATCTCTTGGAGAAACGTGGTGCCGAGGCGGAAGATTTGCCCACGGACAACGTTAAGCTTTGCACATCTCTCTGCTGTTTCTCAAGATAACTAACTTCATCCCGTAAACCTTTAGGCATTATCAAAATGTTAAATCCTCTACTCCTCATGCGAGCCATGTTCACCCCAGCGCAGTACTAGGGTGGTTTAAAGGAGTCAACCCCTCTACCTAGCTCTACTAGGAGGGGGGGTCCGTTAAAAGGGAAAAGGTTCGTTAATTAAGGAAATAAAATATATACTTAATTTAGCGTAGGCTAGCTATATAATACTATATACAGCCTTTTTCTTATATATCCTCTTTAATTTAAATTTTTAATAACGCCTCCTACTAATATAGTAATATTATAATATTACGATATATATATCGCGCGACGCTAAAATCGTTAACGCTATAGCTCTATTACTATTAAGAAGAGTAAGTATAAGAGGCTATAGTTATACCTAGTAAACCTAATAGTTATATATAAGGAAGCCTACTTAACTAATATAACTCCCTTAGCCTAAGGATATTATATAGGCTTAACTTAGGAATAGAAATATCTTAATACCCTCTTTTACTAGCTATATATAGTTACTATACTTATATAAGCCCTTCTCTTATCTTAATAGATAGACTTAGATATATATTACTTAATTTACCTTTCTATACCTTTATTTCTTTTACTATACTTTTAAGCCCTTACTTAAGAGTTATAAGCCCGGTTTATATAACTAGATTATCTTTTACCTACCGATATTACCTTTAAAGCTATTTATAAGCTATTAACGCTATTATAACGCTTAAATTATAGTATTAAAATAAGGAACCTAGCTATACTAAGGGGTACTACTAGAAATATATAAAATATATATCCTTTAAAAAGGATATTACTTATTAAGCTAGAACCTATAAGAGTCTTTAACTATTATAGGTTATAAGCTTAGGCTACGGCCTAAGCTATATAGTTATATATAGAGGGCCGGATCCTATATATATATATATAGGCTAGCCGCGTATAAAAGAGCTCTATATAGCTTATTAATATTATCCTATTTACTACTAATTAACGCTATATACCCTACGTATATAAAGGAGTTACTTTCTAAGGTTACTTTATAGCGGGGCTAATACGATTCTAACTAACTAAAACGATACCTAAGATAGCTAGCGTAAGATTCCTATATATTATAACCGCGACCTAGTATAAGGGCGGACTAGCTATAAAAAGGGAAGGGTTTTCCTTTAAGTACTTTAGTTCTTCCCTCTTATTTAACGCTATAGTTCTAGATACCTCTAGATAAGTTACTAGTATAATCTTAATAGTAATAATATTATCCTATAAATAGTACCTATATATATACCTTTGCTTACTCTATAATAGTATAAGCTATTAACTAATAGATCTAATAAATATCTCCTTAAAGAGGGTGCTACTTTCTTAAGGGAGTACTCCGCCTCTCCTTAAATAGATAGGAAGTATTATAGCTATCCTAAAAGCGATTAAAAGCGCGACGGCTAGTAAGAAGGATAAGGTTCTCGCTATACTAAGGGAGCTATCTATAAGATTAGCTTTAACCCCTATAACCTTTATAACGCTAGTTATAGCGGCGATACTATTAATATAAAAGCCGCTCCCTTAGCCGACTTAGGATAGAAAGCTAAAGTCCTTTTACTTTTTCCTTAGCTAGCTATAAATAAAGTTTATAACTAATAAGAAATAGGGCTTAAATAGCTATCGCGATATAGTATAGTATTTACTCTTTTATATACTATTAAAGCCTTAGATATAGTAGATCTTTAGATTTTAAGATAAGGGTAGCCTTAAGGGTAAATATAACCTATAAGACTTCTTTTAATACCTTATATATATATTCGGTAATATATAAGAGTAAGAGAAGGCGTAAGATAAGCTATAGACCCTTAAGTAGAGAGATACTATATAGTAGGTAGAGGTAAAAGCTTAGGTATAGTCCGTTAAAAGAAGGTTAATAATTTATAAAAGGGAAAAGGAAGAAAAGTATAAGTATAGCCTATATAAGCGCGGAGGCCGCTTATATATAGACTTAGCTTAGACTTTAGTCTAGGCCTATATAAGGTAAAAGCCCTTATATTATACCCTTACTTAGCTTTTAAAGAGGCGCGACTTTAAATAATACTTAATACCGCGC